GCATGTGTCACCATTTCTGGATTCTCGTACTCATATTCCAAAATTGAAAGATAATTTTATATGTAAGCTTGAATAGGGAAAATAAATTTTCAGATCTCAGAAGGTTTTCTCTGATCTCCAGCTACTAAAGCAGTAGTTAACAGTTTCCTGTGTCTTACTATTAAATCACTTTCCCCTAACATTTTGCTGGATTTCACGTGTATATGAAAAAACACTGCTGCATATTCATGACTGATCTAGTAGTTCACTGAAAAGATGTGACCTTGCAACTTTGTTCCTGTTTGCCCAGCTTCTTTTTTAGAGACTAGATGAAAGTTCCTAATAAGACAGTCTGTTTCCAGGGGAAGTCATGTCAAGTTTCATCATGTTGTGCAATGTAGTCCTGTGTGTACCTTATCTGTTTTATTAGAATCATGGCACATTCCATTACATATTTTGCAGCCAAATACTTAACTCTTGTAAACTTTAATTCTTTTCCAACAGGAAGCTACTTATCTGTAAAGTCTCAGTAATGGGCTTTAATGTTTTCTGCAGCTCTCCAAGCCAGTTGAGTTGGAATCTGGTTGCAAAAGTTACACTCTTGTCTCAACTGAAACATATGCCAATTCTAAGAGCTTCCTTTTCTCTGTGCAAAAACATTAATGTGATGCACACCCCAGAGACAGATAGTTATTTTATAGCTCCTTATCATTCTTCTTCATCCTTTTTCTCTCTCCCTCTCTCTTTCCCCCTCCCTTCCTCTTCCTCCCTCTCTCCCTTTCCCTCTCACACTGGGGGTTGAACCCAGAGCATTTATACTAAGTAATATATCAGGCCTTTTTTATTTTTTACCATGAGACAAGATATAATTAAGTCACTGACTTTCCCACATTGGGCTTAAACTAGTGATCCTCCTGCCTTAGTCTTCCAGAGTGCTAGTATTATAGGCAGTCACCACCATGTGTAGCCATCCATTCTATTTTAAATATTGATTTTGTCAAGTACTGCACATAAACTACAAAAAAAAAGCTCATATTTGAGGACTAAGAAATCATAAGAGTCAGACATCATGGAGTATGATTAAAAATGAAATTTGAAGCCAGGCGTGGTGGTACATGTCTGTAATCCTAGCACTCAGGAGATTGAGGCAGGAGAATTGCCATGAGTCCAAAGCCAGCTTGGGCCACATAGTGAGTTCAAGCACAACCTGAACTACATAGTGAGACCCTGTCTCAAAAAAAAAAAACATGTAACTTGACTTAGTGCATTGAATGTAATAGGGATATATTTCCAATTTCATCTTTACATTTAAAACTATAATCCCAAATTTGAATTTAATATTGCCACTAGTTTTATGCTACTCTGTTGAAGCAACCCATCTGGAATGTTCTATGTACTCTCCTAAGGGCACTGTGCCACCACTCATTGAGGCAGAAAGATGCAGCATGTCTGGAGCTGTGTATAGTCATCTGACCCAGTGCCAAAGACTGGCAGGGAATGGGTCTGTCTGCAAGTGAGGCAGTGTGAGACAGTCTGTTCCCCCACACAGCTGGTTACATTTCCTTCTTTTCGTCTTGGTGCTGTGTGTGGGATTTTTTTTTAATAAAAAGTGCTGAACTTGGGTAAATAATTTTTTAGACCAAAAAAGCAAACAGCAATGGATTTCCACATCCTTTGCTTTCCCTTGAGATAATTTATTAATGTTCTTTTCTCCTTCCTCCCCTCCTACACCACAGCTTTACAAATATGCTTGATTACCCTCAGATTTAAGGAAAGTAAATAGCAAATAGGAATATATTTTGACATTCTAATTCACTTTGAATTTAAGCTTCTAGAACAGAGGTTGCAAACTACCACCCTCAGGCCAAATCTAGCCAACCACATGTTTCTGTAAATAAAATTTATTGAAACACAGCCATGTCCATTCACTTACAGATTGTTGATGCATACTTTTATGCAGCTCAGCAGGATTGAGTGGTTGTGACAGATCATATGAACTGAAAGCCTAGAAAGGTTACTATCTGCCCAGGGTATGATTAAGATCATAATATTCCTTAACATGGCAAAGTTTGCAGTTGTTTGACCAATAGGTTTCAAATCATATTTTTCTGCAGCCTATAAATAATGTTTTCTATAGTTTTCCCCTAAAGTACTATTGGAAGTATCTCCCTAGCACAAACATTGTGTTTTATTGTATTCTAATACAAACCCAAGAGACCTGATGTGAGAGAAAAGATAGGATATCAGCAGGAGAGGAACTTGAACTTGCTGCGTTGTCTGTTTGGTCCTGATACTTTAGCTCACTAGACATCAACTTAATCTTCTATTATGAGATTTCTGTCACTGTGACAAAACACCTGAGATAATGAACTTATTAGGAGGAAAGATTTATTTTGGCTTATATCTTTGGATGTTTCAGTCCGTAGTCCAATAACCCACCCATCCACCCCCGCCCACCATTGCTTTGGGGCCTTTGGCAAGATAGTACACCATGACAGAAACACTTGGAAGAAAAATTTACCTACATCATGGCAAGTAGGAATCAAAGAAAGAGAGGAAAAGCCTGAGGTTCTAATATACCATCAAAGGCATTGACCATAGAGACCTGTCTTCCTTCTACTTGGCCTTACCTCCTAAAGGTTCCATTTCCCAATAGCACCATACCTAGAGACCAAGCCTTTAACACATGGGCTCTTGGAGGACTTACACAAACCACAGCATCCTCTTTAAGACGAAGGAGTTGGCTGGGCATGGTGGCACATGCTTCTAATCTTAGCACTAAGGAGGCTGAGGCCAGAGGGCCACAAGTTGGAGGCCAGCCTGGGCTATATTGCAAGACTGTGTCTCAAGAACATAACAATAAAAAAATAAAGGAATTGAATTGTGTTGATAGCTAAGGTCTCTTCTACCTTAAAAAAACATCATGAAATAAGTCAGACTTTAAACATACAGAAAAGTAGTAAATATTGTCAAAATATATTTCTTAACTTGGTAAAGTTTTTTACTGCAGGACCAAAGAAAGTAATATCTGGTTCCTAAAGAAATAAGTATTCCCACTGTATTTTTACATTACCCTGAATTTTTGAAAATATCTATATTTATATGTGCTAGTTCAAATATTTGTTTTGTAGGAAACATTTATGAAACATCTTTTGTGTCCTCAAGACCATGTGAGATGCAGTTATCTATGGCCCCAGTCCCTTTCTTACAAATTTTTCAGTGTATTTTAAATGTGTATATGTGTTGTTTTTTAAACTTTTGTTTCCTTAGGGTTTTTTTTTTTGTTTTGGTTTGGTTTGTTTTATTTTTTGAGACAGGATCCCACTATGTAGCTCTGGCTGGACTTGAATTCACTATACAGCTCAGGTAGGCCTCAAATTTACAGCAATCCTCCTGTCATAGTCTCCCAACTGTTGGAATTATAGGCGAGCATTACCACACCCAGCTCTTCTTTTTGTTGGTCTGATGAAGTTTGGTTTGGTTTGGTTTAGTTTTGATTTTCAGGGATATTTTGTTTGTCATTTGGGTTTGGGTTGGGTTTTTTTTGTTCTGTTTTGTTTTTTACTATTTTTTTATTATGTATAAATAGCATTTCATTACTTTTTTTTTTGAGACACAGTCTCACTATACAGCTCAGGCTGGCATTGAACTCACTTTATAGCCCAGGGTGGCCTCAAACTCATGAGTTCCCCAAGTGCTTGTAAGATAGGCATAAACCACCATACCCGGTTTCATTTACTTTTATAGGCTTACTGACCTAGTTTCCAGATGGAAAACTAATAACTACTTAAAACATTTTTTCTATGAGAAAATACATCCCCTACTTCTCAATTTCAAAATTGATACCCATTAGAGATAGAGACCAATGAGAAGATGGAAACTGCCTAGATCTGCAAGGATTTAGGCAAAAATTTGTAAACCAGCTACATATTAATTGTTAATATAAAGGTGTAAGTAGACCCTCATTTTACTAGTCTGCTTATACTGTTGATTTAAACTCACTTATTAATGCTTTCATAGTTAATGGCATCATTTAAAAATTATCCCTGCTCTGTCTTCACATTGCTCTTAATTAGACATTTTATATATGAAGTGGATCATATATTTACAAGTCATAAGGATTTATCTTACATCAGTATATGCAAATCTAACTATAATTTGAAAAATCTTTACAGTCAATATTTGACCTCTCAACTAGCATTGGTTGTACAGAGTGAGAAAAGAGAAAAACAAAATCAACAAAAATATCTCCACCTATTTTGGAGAAGTTAGGAAACAGAAGGTTTCAGACTAGCCAAGGTTAATTTTAACCTTTTTCTTTTCAATGCAAAGTGTTGACAGTGAGACATTTTATTTGAGGTACAAGCTAATCTTTTAATTATATTTCTAAACAGAGATTTGTCTCTAATGAATTAAGTTAAAGTTCTGAAAGAAACTTTGGATCATTTGGGTTTGTGGGATTTTTAAAATATATTTTTTCAGTATCTTCTCACACTCTGAAAGTTATAAAATCAAGAGGAAGAATTATTATGTACTTGACTTTCTACTGAAGGAGCACTGATTCTGTTAATGAACAGTCCTAGCAAAACAAGCATAAACCTTTTGTGAGAGCATTCCTTCCTAGAAGGAGTTGGGTTTGCCCTTTCCCAAGATTTAGGTTTCTGTGAAAATTCTTTTAGGCGTATCTTGGCCAGAAAGCATTCTTTCATTGTACTCTATTCATCTTATTGAATGTTGCTTCTGTCCAAAGGAGAAAACACTGAAATTGCTGAAATATTGACAAATTTAAAATGCCAAGGAAATTGCAACACTGATAGAATTTTAGTCCATCTGTTTAAAGATGTTCACATTGTGGCAAGTTTCATTGAATGATTAAGAGATTTTAACAAGAGGATCTCACCAAAATCATCAGCCTGCCTTTTAAAGAGGGAAAATACTGTTGACTGAAATAATATATATGAAACTGTGACCTGCAGCCAGGAATTATGAGAATTGATTGGATTTTCTTCTTTGCTTCTTAGCTGTATGACAAAATTAACACAAAGTCTTCACCACAAATCAGGAATCCTCCAAGTGATGCAGTTCAGAGAGCCAAAGAGGTAAGTGATACATTTTTATTAAAATATTTGGATAGTATTTAATATCTTTAATGAAAATATTTCTACTGCACATTAAGAGAGAGATTCCTTGAAGCCACAGTTTGACTCATTATACTCAGATTTAGTGTTTTGGAGTTTATCACTGAATATATATACAAGAAAAAATGTCAATGTAAGTATGCCTAGATTTCTGATTTGGGGCTCTGCTGTGTTAATTTCAGATGTTAACATATCAATTTTATTTCTTTTTGTTTTTAAATGTTATTTTGCTACATTTGGCAGAAGTAGACATGTTATAAAAATTTAAATTGTTTTTTAAGGTAGTATTATTTTAAAGTTAGTTGAATTTCTATAGCAAATATATGTACTGAGTTCAAAGAAGTCATTTTTATATATTGGCAGTACACATGGCTGTTATCTGTCACAAACTGTTTCTAAAAACATATAGGAACATGGTATCACATAATATTTAGAAAACGAAAATTTATCCATAATCCTATCACCCTAACACAGTAGTTTTCATGTTTGCGTATCTTTTGTGGTCACTATTTATTTGTATATAAATTTTACATAGTTGCAACCAAAGTCTATCTTTTTCTAGCATAACATTATATAAGTATTTTCCATGTTTCTACTTGGTTGCCATAAATATAATTTATAAAATCTGTATTTTTGTGTAATTATCACATTAGAATGCATTAGAAACTTTCTCATTAATAGACACCTACTTTTTGTCACTTTTTTGTCTTACAAATCTTTATACAGATAAGAATTTCCCTTTACAAATTAGCTCTTATGAAGTGAGGTTACTAAGTGAAAGAGTATGAAAGACATAATCTCTTCTCTAGTAGATTTTAAGCCTCAGATATGTACTAAAAAATATTATGTATTCACTGAAGAACTAGATTGATGCTATGGTGGCTACCAGGCAACCCACTTGATCAGGACTAGCTGAAGGAGAATGTGTTTTAACCCATCAACCAAGCACTCATCAAAAGGAATTAGGTGTCATGGGCAGAAATCATGAATCACTACCTGATCTACATGGTACACAAATAAGCAGAAGCAGATATACCATGGAAACAAATCTTTGACTTCACTGAACAGTGCTAAAGGTCTCCACCTAGGGGCACAGAGTCTGTGTTTTCATGCTTTGATTCCCCAGTACAGAAATAGGATGCCTGAAATACACCAGGGAGAGTCAGTTCATCATCATTAAACAGTATGAATTCACAGCATAACCAGAATTCATTAACCAGACATTTGGATAAGGAAAAAATCTTGGGTTGTGTGTGTGTGTGTGTGTGTGTGTGTGTGTGTGTGTGTGTGTGTGTTCTTACCTGAGCCCATGGTTGAGTAGAGCATTAGAAGTATGACGCTGAAATGTAAGGCTCAGGCTGGCTGACCCCATGACATGGCTTCCTAAGGTCCTTGCAGGCTGAAGTAAGAAGTTGCTGCTGGGCGGAGACCTGCATGCCCCTGACATGCAGTAGTGCAGAAGTCTTTAATTGGCACCATGGTTAGGCTTCACTGTGGTTAAGACCTCACTGTGGCTGCAACCATTTATGGTTAGAATTGTAGCAGGTAATTGCTTAGAAATGAAAAACAGAGGTTTTGCCATGGGTTCACGTCCCCAAATTCAGTTAAATAGGTAAACTCCATCCTGGGGGAAGGGAGAACCTCTGAAGAAAATTTTTCTTTAAAAACACCATCTTTTACCAGTGCAAAAAAAATGTTATCAATTAACTAGTGACTAAAATTTGGGTGGAAGAAGAAAAGAAAGCTTTTTAACAATGTTCTTGGGTTCATTGGCGTTTAATTCTAGGAAGCATTGATAGAAGCATGGTTTTCTTGAAGCGGGGAGATGAGCATGGAGAATAATATTAATCCTGCCATGCTGCAAGAAAAATTAAGTATATTGATTGACTGTTCTAATTAATTAGTATTCCTCTTTAATTTGTTTTTGTTCAAGCCCATGTCATCTTTCTAAAAGGAATTTGCAAAAAAAAACAAACAAAAAAAGAATTGGCAATGCTATTAATATAAAAGAAAGCTATTGTTGACTTTTAATGCCAACTGATTTTGGTGGGAATTTGAAAGCTATTCTCCCATTAAGTTAGTTAAACTTGTAATAAATGCATGTTCTAAGCTTGTCATTTTGTTTCATAATTTTTAGTTACCTATTGAGTTACAGCTGGGTAATGTGGGCAAACTAATACAATTTGTTTCATTTTTATTACCACCAATAATACTATTTTATGTATTAACCCTTGAAAAAATGAGGAATCTTTTCATTGTTTTGCTTGCCATACAAATTCACTCATAATTATAAATCTAAAAGAATTCCATACTTAGTGAGTTTTATATTATGTTTATATAAATATTTTGCTTATCTTTTTAGGTATTGGAAGAAATTTCTTGTTACCCTGATAATAATGATGCAAAGGAACTAAAACGTATTTTAACACAACCTCATTTCATGGTACGTAGTAATTAAATTTCCATAGAGCTAAAAATCTCACTTTCAAAAGAAGTTTTTAATAACCTTCGTATCATATCACCAGTTCATCAAATGCATTTTTGATCATATATAGCTATATGTCACTTCATGATAGAGATACATTCTGCAAAATATGTCCTTAGCCAATTTCATCATTGTAAGAACATCATAGAATATCCTTACCCAGTCGTAGGTGGTATAAACTACTATACACCTAGACACTCTGCATATGAAGTGTAGTGTGATGAATGCAACATACTGTAGTTATATATTATCAAGTGTTACAAACTCTGCATAACTGTATTGCTATGCTTTTATCTGACTGCCAGCATGGTAGGTTTGTTAAGCCCAGCATTGCCATAGACATGTGACCATGCATCGTGAAGTCATTAGGTCATAGGAATTTTCAGCTGCATTTTAACCTGATCGAATCACCACTGTGTACATGGTCCATTGTTGACCAAAATGTCACTGTGGAGTATCTGACTGTAATAGCCAACTGTTAATGCTACGATACCAGGTAACACCAAATAATTTAAGATTCTTCTTGTTCACTTCATGTCACAATAATAAGGATGCTGCTTATAAAATGACCGTTAAGGGACTGTGTAGTCTTCAGGCAAGAGATTTTCTTCTTTATTAGAGAGTCTTTACATCACTGACACTATGTTACCAGAAGCACAATGAGCTAAAATTGGAGATAATATTTGCTAATAAACACTTCTCTCAACGTACATGATATATTAAAGGAGATCTCTTTTTTAACAATGTAAAATTCTTTCACTTTCTTCATTCATTTCCACATATGGAAAATGGGAATCACACCTGTATTTATTCAGCTTTACTAAAGCTAAATAATTTAGCAAATCCCAAAATAGATAAGTTACTTTTCTGTGGAAAAGGGTCCATGGCTATGTACTTAATTAACTGCAATTCAAATGTACAATAACAGATGGAAATACATGTTGAATATAACATGTTTAAAACATTCGCCACGTCTATATATGTGGAGTATACACAGTGTTGAAAATTCAATTGATTGCTCTTTGGAAGAAAATCTGACTTAAAAGCCATCTTTTTATTACTATAAATGCAAGTGACATTTTAAAAATAATCATAACTATGTAGTACAGTGTGTATATCATTTTAGCTACCTCTGCATTTTGGCACGTGTGGAAAAGTGCTTTTAAAACTTTAACTTAGCCATTGAAATACTTTTTTTCCTCAATGATCTTGAAAGAAACAATTACAATATTCACCCTCCCTAACTTTCCTATCCAAGCCTAAAGTAGAATTTCGAGTATAATCCTTGAGAGTGTTTGACTTTATTCTATATGATGGCAGGACTACCCAGTGAATTAAAAATACAGTTCCATGGCCATAAAGGAGCACATTTTTACAACTTAGGTATATAAACAGAACTCAGTTCAAATCCCACTTCAGCTGTCAAAATCTCCCCTGACTCTAAAATCCTCTCTTCCCCTTGTTTTTATTCACCATCTAACATTCTAATACATGCTGGTCTGCTGAAATAGGTCCTTTTGCTAACGAATGACACCTGTGCAATGCTTCTGTGTCCATCTGTCTCTGCTTAGGCTTTGTTTTCATTGAATTTATGATTTCATTTAATCATTGTCAGTCTGTATTTCATAGATCAGGAAAATGAAGAAAGTATATGCCTTTTTATTATCTTCAAATCCAAGCAATCACAAACATTAAAGTTTAATTACCTTTAATGTTATCTTGGTCACTGATTATCTCTCATGTATGGGCATGTTTTCCCTTATAATTCATTCCTCTTATCTACTGTGCTTAGCAGTACTGAATATAAGCTTAATACCTAGTAAATGTTAACTAATAAGTATTATTAGTTATTCCATATTGACTGTTATTTATAGGATTATAGAACTTAGAATGTTTAAGTTCTCAGTAAAACACTCATTAGAGCAGGAGTTTTCTTAATTGCAGTAAGTTAGCCTCTCAAATGACATTGTATTTTCTGTAGAGAGAACCTTGGACACATTCTTGAACATATGTGTCTATAAAGTGCTAAGTGACCTCAACTCAACTCAGAGAACAATATAGTGCTATTTGAGTCCAATAGATCTTTCATACTTGAAGTAAGCTTAATAAAGACATTAACACTTGCCAAGTAAAAACCTTTTTGTAAGGTTAAGGGGCCTTTTTCCCCAAAATCATTTAAGCTCATATAGCTATATGTCTCAGCTTACCTACCTTCTAAGGCATGATTTATTTTGCATTTCTGAAGTCAGGAAGAAGTTAACATGTATATTGCTATTATAAAAATTTTCAGAAATGATCAGTATAATTCTTCTTTTTTGAATATCTAGGTGCTTAAAGGACATTTTCATTCATTTATGAAATATGTAAATGCCCTGCTGTGTGCCAAGCACTCTATACCAAGTACTTTCATTCTAGTAAAGGCAACTTGGGAGGCTAGGAGAGGTAAAGAAAGTGAACCACCAAGATAACTTCATATAGTAACAACTGTAAAGGAAAGATAATGAGGCAGAGATATTAATAAGGTGGGAGCTACTTTAAATCACCAGGGGACAGTCCCTTTGAAGAGTTAATAAATGAACTGAGACTTGTTACATGAAAGAACCAGCCTTCTTATTGTGCATACAAATATAAAGGCCCAGAGACAGAAAGGAGCTTTGGGGTTCAAGGAGCAGAAGTAAGGCCATTTTGTGGCTGGAATATTAGTAAACAAGAGATAGAATGGTAAAAAAAGAATTAAAGGAGATTGCCAGAGGCCAGACCAAAGAAGGCCTTTGGGCCATGATAGAGTCTGGACTTCTCTCTTGATTGCAGTAGGATGATAATCAATAATGGCAAACCTTTTAGAGCTTTCAGTGATAATGAACAACCAACTGTAGCACCTGTGCCCTAGGTTCACTACCACTTACTAGGTGATTGCAAGGAAAATATCTGATCTGTGCTCTCATGATTGCTAAGGCTGACTTGGAGAGAATGGACTATAGGGAGTTAAGACATAAAGGAGGGAGACCAATTAGAAGACTGTTATGAGAGGTGATAGAGGCTTGGAGTCAGATGGATATCATAGGTAACCGGTAGACTCGGGCTCTGTGTCAAAGATGGTTTGGCTGTAACAGGACCTTTCGGGACTGGGATGTGAGGTAATGTGATTAACGTTCATAAAAGGACACTGCCTTATCAAAGCAAAGAAAGTTGCTTATGGTCACCTAACTGATGAGTGGCCTCACTGAGGTTCAAACTAGATCTTGCTTATCCAAAGCCCATGCCCTTAAAAGTGGGTTTTTGTAATGCTGATGCATTTTCCTATAAAACTGACCTCATTGGCAATTCCCAAGTAACCATATAGATGGATAATGTCCCACATGATAACCATAATTCTGAGATAGATAGACAGATAAAGGCAGAGTAGATAAATTTTAGATAGATAAAATTTTTTTCTATCTTTAGTAGATAGATAAACTTCTAAATGCTGGAGTTGTCTTAGACATTTTTTAACCGAAGTTTTAAAATCTTGTTTTTTTAAAAAGAAATATAGTAGATAAAGGGAAATATTAGAATGCTTATGATATTTATTACATGAAATTTGGGGAGTTATTCTTAGTATTTTTGTAACTGCACACTTGGTTGCTTGATTTCCTAGATTTCTCTTTGCTTTCTGATCATTGTAACATGAAGATTTACCATTGAATTACTTGACACTATATATATGTAAATGTTTACAGAAACTTAAGAATAAATAAGGGCAGATTGAAAAACTATTTTTAATCTGTATTCTACTTTGAGATCATGATAAAAAAATTAACTCAAATTTCTTTTTCAGGTATTCCATTTGAAAGGCTGATTTTTAAAAAGCACAATTCTTTATTTATTGAAGTTGTAAAATAGGAAACATTTAAAGATGAACAAACCCCTTATGTATTACCTTGACAGAAAGTCAGTACCTTAATTTTTTTAAGAAATAAGCTTTATTTTGAAGTCCTATAAGGTCTCCAGTGTAGGTTTTATTGGTCTTGTTTTGGTCAATTCTATTATACCTGATGATATGGGCAACTCTTTTCAAGATAGCAAGAGGCATAATGGTAATCATTTTTTGATCACCTGGTATTCTATTTTTGCATCATATACTATGTCCATCCTTCTGTTCTACCTGACTCTGTTTTGTTTTGTTTTGTCACATTTGGTTTTATTCTCTTCAAAAAAAAGTAATAAGAACTATGGGAGTAATAAAACCCAAAAAGTGTAATTGTTACTGTAAAAAAGAGAGGAAAAGAAAGTGGCCTAAAGGATATAACTGCATGTATATTTAAGTGTATAGGATAGAAAACCATATTACTGAGTTTTTGTTGGATCATTGAACAGAACTGTCTGCAATCTCACTGTATGAATGTCCACTTTATATGCTTTAATTTTGTAATTTGGACCACTGTTTCTAAGATGACAACATGTAATCTATTAACTAGTGATTTCTTACTGTATTTTTTTCTTGAAATTCTGTACTACTTGTACCCTTTTACTGCTTTGTTTTTTTCTCTCTCTTTAAATAAAAAAAGAAAAAGAAATAAGCTTTAGAATGAAAGATACTTTACAACAAAGCATGCATGCTGAATTTCTAGAAATAAGATAGTTAAAACACTTTGGGTTGTCATAAACGTTTCATTAAGAAATATTACATGTTATAATTTGTAATTAAAACATCAGAGGAACCACTTCCCAAACCTAAAATTCGTCTTCTAACAGCTTTTTAAGCTTTTTTCTAAAATAATCTGTAAGTAGTTCTCTTTTTTGCTGTTTGCATATGAATTAGAACCTGAGGTTAAGTTTGATCTTGTGGCAGCAATCTTTTACCATGGCAAATTTTGGTCATTATCATTGGTGACCATCTTTGACACATTATGTAAATATTTTTCTTTTAAATTCAATTTGGATATTATTGTATGATTATGGGCCTATTCTTATTACATAAAAAGACATTAAATATAAGTGTTGGCTTGATAATTTAAAATATGAATAGAAATCACTTGCAAAATGTAGTATAAATTTCTTTTCTCTAACCCATCTGACTTCCGGCACTGGTGGTACCCTGACAAAAACATGGCTGCCTGTTTGTCTGCACATCCGCCATCCAGACAAAGCACTTTTTTAAATTCATAAGTTAGGAAAGACATATCTACACTTGATATAGTAAAGCTGGTTTTAGAAGATGGAGTTTTGTAGTTGGCCTTTTACTGATTTTTGCCCTCTGTCCTAATTCTTAATTTCCTCAGTTGATCACAATTAAACCAGAAGAAGGCTTTGCCCATATGGCCCAACCTCTGTGCATGGGCTCAGGAATACCAGTGCAGGGTGCCTTCAGGGTACTGGGTGATGAAGCTAAGGTCTAAGCCCATTTTGGAGCCTGCTTTCCAGCTATGTACTGTACCTCAGCATCCCTCACCCAAACTTGAGTTGAGCAGCTATCTGAGATGTTGGCAATACCTGCTGTTCCCATTGGAAACTCCAATCTATAGATTGCACCAAACATATTGTCTACTAGTGACCAATCAGCATCATCTTCTTTCCAATTCTACAACATTGTTTCCCTTTTTTTTTTGGTTCTTTAAACAATTTATTTAACTTAAATGGACTTCCATTTATTTAACTCAAGTGACTTCCATTTTATTTTAATACATATTTTCCCCATGGTGATTTACAAGATCTTCAAGTCAATATAAATATTTCATAAATATTTGGCCATTTGGGCAATATCTTTCAGCAAGAAAAACACTGAAGAGTAATTACCCAACACAATGTTCTAAATATTTGTTTCTGAGATGAAGGCACCCACACCTGTTAAGGAAACCATCCTTACAACACAGGATGATTTTTTATTAAGTAGGGCCTAGAACACTTAATCACCAATACTAAATGGCAGAGCTCCATCCTCAGCTTATGTCATGAATTCATAGGGAATAGGTTCCAACAACTCAGGCTCATTTTTATTGGATCTCACAAAGTGTGTTTCCCTGGGCAGGGCAGGCTGGCACTTCAGCTGAACCCAGCTACCTTTCTTTTTGGCTTCCTTCTTTTTCTGATCATTTTTCTTGACACATTTCAGGAAGCTATTGTGACTCTTTGAGTGCTTAATATGCACATTATTCCTCTTGGCAAGTGTCTTGCCCTTAACTTGCTTGTTTACAATGCCAACAGCATGTTGGGTGACACTGTAGACTCTTCTAGTTTTGCCATGGTAACAGTTGTGTGGCATTCCTTTTTGTACAGTACTGATAACCTTGATATCTACAACATCACCCTTTTTGTAGATTCCCATGTATGTGGCCAAAGAAACAACCCTGTGTTTCCTAAAAGGCCTAGAGATCATATACCAGCTCCTCCTCCTCCTCTTTCCCTTTGTGTTCATCATTTTTACAGATGCCTGGGAGATGGTGGTTGCGACCAAAAGAACTATTCCCCTATTTTTGCCTCATAGTCATACCTTTAAAATTAAAATAGCCAAGTCATGTTGCAATAAGCCTTTTAATTAAATAAATTTCAGGCGCTAAGGGTTATACTTTTAAAGCAATTTTAATTGCATTTCATTATCTCCAGATATTTCATTACATAACAGATCACAGATTAAAATAGAGTTAAGTTTATAGTCAAATGCATATTAAAAAATCTACAGCTCCAAGCAGACTGATAGCTGTGAATTCTCTGTGAAATGAAAATACTCAAATCCTCATGTTTACTAAAATGTGTTTTTATGAAAACACAAAAAAAATAGAATAAGTGAAAGGATGTCATTTTTTAAGGAAACAAGGGACATTTTTTATACCTCTCAAGATGACATATACAGATACTGGTACAGAGAAATCCTTCTTTCTTTGTTCATGGGCTTTGTAAAAGAACTCATAATAATAATTTTTAAAAATTTTTTATTTAGGCAAGTGCTTCAAAAAATAGAAATAAAGAAAAACATTAAATAGGTTTAGATTTTGAGTTCCATAGCACATATTTTATGAAGTTACATTTTTTCAAATGCATTTTTATAGTTTTTAAATTTCTTTTACTAAATTGTATATTGTAAATTATTTTTATCCTTTGGGTTATATAAAATTGTCATCATTAGTAACACTGACAAAAGAAATTTGTTCAATATACCAATTATTCTATCATTTCTTTTTGTTTCCATTTAAACTTCAATACAGAGTTTCCAGATCTTTTTTGTAAATGGTTTTTTGGCTACCCCACTTGAAATTTTAGTATGTTAACCTTTATTTGAACAAGTTAGTTGGACATATGTTCATAGCATTAGATAATACTGTAGCCCAGGTAATCAATAAGCATATCCATTCATCGATTTTTTCCCTCATTCCTGCATTCATTCTTTTTCTAATCCATCTGTCTTAGTTACTTTTTACTCGTCGCTGAGACAAAATACCTGAAGCCCAAGTTGGGAAAGGAAAGGTTTATTTCTTACAGTTTTTGGAGGTTTCAGTCCACACTCAGTTGGCTCCAAGGCAAGTGGGCATGGCTGGGCCACAGTTCATGGCGGCTGCAAACAGCAAGCAGGAACCAGCAAAGTGCAAGACACACCTTCTTCCTATTATCACATCCTGGCTCCACCCCTTTGTGGGTGGAGAACTGACACCATCAATCCAAGCACTAGACAATAACGAATAACAAATGCACAATTCAAACTCATGAGGCCTGGGGGCCACAGACATAAATCATGACACCACCTATTACAATGTTTGTTAGAAAGAAATTGGGATCTGCTTATTAGTAGGTATTATACACTTTGAGCTCTCCTTCAATATTAGATATCTTTGAGAACTAAAGAATAATAATAGATTTCTGCTAGAAAAGTAATGTTACTAATGTTTTCCTTCTTTCATAAAAAAATACTAGGCCTTACTTCAGACTCACGACGTAGTGGCACATGAAGTTTACAGTGATGAAGCATTGAGGGTCACTCCTCCTCCCACCTCTCCCTACTTAAATGGTGATTCTCCAGAAAGTGCTAACGGAGACATGGATATGGAAAACGTGACCAGAGTTCGGCTGGTACAGTTCCAAAAGAACACAGATGAACCAATGGTAAGTATGAAAGGAAAGTTTTCTACACTCTCATAAATCACAACTTGAGTTAGCTCAACTAACTTCAGCCTGTACTATGATTAGGAGGTTGGAGGTGAGAAGGGGGAAGGCTATGAATAGTTCTAAAGAAATTAGTTCCCAGATATTCAGTTCCCCTCTGCCCTTATTTCCTAGAATTGCTGCCTAACACTATTTTCTTAGACAAGTTGACCCTCCTCACCTCTCCTTTCATAACTGCCTTTCAACTTTACCAAAGGAAAAAATTAATACTGGTGTATTATTCCAGAATGTAAAATCTTTAGCATACTAAAGAAAGGGACAGTGTGAAATGCTAGTACTGGTTTTGAGAAAGTGAATGTCTGATGCATTGTTTAAAATATCCTTTTATAATTTGGTATTTTCCAGGGTTTTGCCTTTACCAAAATTAGAGGAAGAAAGACTAATTCAGAAGGCACCCAAAGAATTGAATAGCAGTTCTGAAATAAGATTCTTTCCATTCACACCTACTTACTTAATATGAATTAATTTTGTCAGTGTGAGAAATAGAGTTAAAATACAAGTATAGCTAAAGTTCCTCCTCATTCTCATAGATGAAGAAGATCAAGGAAGAAAGGGCTCCCTGATGGTAACCAAGCAGGCAGAGCTTGGGGAGGGTGGAGAGAGGTGACACCATTCAGGTAAACAGAGTAGCCTGGCAGTGGAAGGGGTCTTAGTATATTTTCCAGATGTAACGAAGGCATCATGGCTGTACTGTAGGCAGCAAGTTGAGTGGCCAGAACATAACCACACAAGGATTCTGTTAATTTTCCTTAGCAACAGCGGGAAACTAATGAAGAGTTTTAAGCCAGAAGCTGGGTCCAATTTTCATTTTAAGAAATACACTCTGAAGAATGTATTAGAGGGCCAGAGATTTAGCTCAGTGGCGTAAGTGCCTGCCTGGCAAGCATAAGGTCATGAGTTCGATCTGTGGTACCAAAAAAAAAAAAAAAAAAAAAGAATGTATTAGAGAGGACAAAAGTGGATCTAGGGAAAACAGTTAAGAGACTATTAGTGCAGTAATACAGGGAGAGGTGATAAGGCTCCAAACTAGAGAGATGGAATATCAAGATGGAAAGAAGTGAACAAATTTAAGAAATAACAAGAGAATAAAGTCAGCCAACTTTAATGTAACGAAAAAACAAGGATCAAAGATGGCCCATAAGCCTTAGGTTTGTACAGCTGAATTGACAATGAGATAGAGACACTGAGACAGGGAACAATGAACAAGTTCCAAGTTCAGAGGAGGGGTCACATCCTAAACATTCAGGTTGATGCATTTATATCTTTCCTGAGCATAGAAGCAAAATACTGGAATATAGAGAAACAAATTACCTACTTCAGAAAGTCAACCAGTTGCCTTCTAGATTTAAGGAAGAATTATAGAGCAGTGATTCTGATCACAATTACCAGAAAACCCTCAACTCTAGACTTTCTGATTATAATCCTTATTAATTGCCCTTTGTCAGTTCCTATATTATAATCTTTAGCAAGTAGATGTATGCAGATCACCTCACCCCTTCTGGTACTCTTTTGGCAACTCTTTGACTTAAGAAAATGGGTGTCAGCAGCTCTCCAGGCCTGAGGAGTGGGCATAAAACTCTGGGTTAGTGGGCCTCAGTTTGCTCCTCTCTAATAGCCCACTTGACTAAGTGATCCCCAAGGTGCCTCTTGGCTTTGAAAGTCAAATGTTCTGTTCAGTTGCTTTACATATTCATTCACCCATTCAGCAAAAGTTTAAGTTGCTGTCATCTGCAAATCACATTAGTGATTTACCTTAAGTAAGTAAATGTATAGCTCAGCCCAGTTGAACAAGCTCAGTTATGTCAGAGATAGACAGGAGAGAAGGCTGTGTTGAAGAGGCAGAAAAAAAAGGTAGCAGTCAGCAAATCAAAGCAGACAGAAAGGTAGAAGGGACCACAGGAAGGGGGCCCAAGGTGTCTTGTGATCACCATGTTCAGAAGCAACCCAATGATAGCGGCTTGATCTCTTGTATGAAGGTACACTCCACAGAAACATTGAGAAAATGCATAAAACTATATCCCTGAGTCATTGTTCCAGAAAACATAAAATGGCCTTAAGTCTCTCCTTAAAATCTCCTTTTAAAAGGCCCCTCTTGTGTCTTCTGTAATCATAGTGATTACATGTATTTCTCTTTTTTTTGGCTGATTGCCTTGAAAATAGGAATTATTTTATGTAAAATAGAAAATACATTTTCAGTGATAGAGCGTAAGTATCACACTTAATATGGCTTTTTTGTTCATTGTCTTATTCAAAGCATTGTATTATTACATAGATTATACTTACATGATCTATTTTGTTTTTTGGACCCTGTATAATATGTCCATTCCCTAAGAGTGATATGCTCCCAGGAAGCCCTGTGACCCCAAAATTGCCCCACCTTCGTACCTTGAAAAAAATTTCCAGGCCACAGAACAGGAGAAAAGACTGCAGCACAGCAAGCAGACTCTGAATTGAGAGAGTAGAGCTAAGGGTCTGGGGAGACTGGCAAGGTATTTTGCAAAAACAAAGACAAAATAAAAACATTTCAGACATACCAAAGCTGAAAATTCAGCAGCCCCACACTATAAGATGTATGAAAGGCATATACACCCTTTAGGCAGAAGGGAAATGATAAGAGATGGAAATATGGATCTATAGAAAGGAGGATAGGACAGTAGTAACTACATGGGTAAATTTATAAGTTTTTTCTTACTACCTAAATCTCTTTCAAAGGTACTTAGTTGTTTAAACAAAAGTAACAATGTGCTTTCAAGTTCATAACTTATAGAAGGTAAATTATGATAAAAGCACAAAGATCAGCAGAAATGAAATGGAAATAGATATTATAAAGTCCTTATACTGTGCGTGAAGTGGTATAGTGTTTCTTGAAGGTGCCACTGCTAGGTTAAAGAATGCTGTAAAGCCTAACACAACCACTAAAACAATAAAATGAAGAGTTGTAGCCAATAGACAACACAGAGAGAAAAACAGTATAAAAATAAATAAATCCCCAAAAAGGTAGAAAAAGAGATAAAAGGAAACATAAAATCACTGGAACAAGTATAAGTCAAATAACAAGAAAATATATTTGTACCCAATTGTATCAATTATCATGTTAAATGTAGTCTAGATTCCTCCAATTAAAAAGCAGAGTTTATCAGATGGGGTTAAAAAAAGAAAGCTTAATTATGTGCTACTAGTAATAAATGCACTTTACACATAAATAAAATGGTTTCAAAGTAAAAGGATAGAAGATATGATATACCATGATAACATTACTCAAAAGGAAGTTGAAGTGGCTATATTAATATCAAAGTATATTCTCAAACCACAAGACCAAATTAGAAATTAATAACAGAAATAAAAATCCCCATTATTTGAAAAGTAAATAGCATAATTCTTAAAGACCCATAGATAAAGGAGAAATCAAGAGAGAAATTAAATAGTATTTTAAAGGGAATAAAAATGAATCACAACGTATCAGAATTTGTGACATGCAACTAAAACAGTAGAGATAAGATGTAACACTTATTATCTATATTAAAAAAGAAGATATGTCTCAAATCAATGTTCTCAGCTTCTATCTCAAAAAATTAAAGAAAAAAGAAATGAAAAATGAGTAAAAGAAGTAACAAAGCTCAAAGTCAAAATCAATGAAATAGAGATTCAATAGAGTATCAATAAAACAAAAACGCTTTTTCTTTGAGCACATTAGACCAATCAGGAAAATTGATTGCACAGTTAGGACAAGAAAAAGAGGATACAAATTATGAATATCAACCACAAGAGATGTAGCATTCCACAGTTATAAAAAAGAATATTAAGAAAATGAAAATAAACACATTTATGCCAATAAATTCAACAACATAGATGAAGTGGGAAATTCCATAGAAGAAAAAAATATCAAAGCTCACTTAAAGAGATATAAACTGGCTGTACACAGTGGCACATACTCATAATCCCAGCCTCAGGCAATTGAGGCACGAGAATTGCAAATTTTTGGTCAGCCAGGGTAATTTCACATGCCCTTATCTCAAAAAAAAAAAAAAAAACTAAAGGCTGAGGATATAGCTCACTGGTAAAGTGCTGACAACATGCTCAAAGCCCTGGGTTCAATCCCCAGTAACAACCAAAGAGAAAAAGAAAGAATTTATTGCCTTATACTATTTAAAATTGAATTTCTATTAAAAAATTTCTCAAGCTGGGCACGGTGGCACACACTTGTAATCCCAGCACTCAAGAGGCTGAGGCAGGAGGATCACTATGAGTTTGAGGTCAGACTGGGCTACATAGTTTAAGGCCAGCCTGAACCACATAACAAAACACTATCTCACAAGAAAATTTTTTTCTCAGATGCTATAATATAGCTCAGTGGTAGAGAATTTGCCTAGCATGAACAAGGCCCTGGGTTTAGTCCCCAACATTGAACACTAAAATGCCTTAAAGAAAACCCTAAGCCTAGATAGCTTAACTGGTGAATTCCACCAAACATAGTAGAGAAATAATACTAATTCTATGCAAACTTCCCAAAACCTTGAAAAAGAAGCAATTCTTTCCCAATTCATTGTATAAAGCCAACATTACCTTGATATCAAAACTAGTCAACAGTATTACAAGGAAAAAAGCTGCAAAACAGTATCTCTCATGAATGTAAAAGCAAAATTCTAAACATAATTTTAGCAAAGCAAATTAACAAAATATTAAAATTTTGAGAGGTGCTCACTTCAGCAGCACATACTAAAATATAAACAATATAAAAGGTATTATCATAGGCTGTGCGTTAGGATCAGACACAAAGCATGAATATATTACAGCCAAGTGGGGATTAACCCAGGAATACAACCAAAAGCTAGAAGCAATGCATGCAATATTACTACTCAGCAAGAACAAAGAACGAACTGTTGATACATGCAACAATATGGTGGAATCTCAAAATAAGAACACTGAGTGAAAGAAAGCAACAACAAAGAATACATACTATTGTGAGTCCATCAATAGACAGTGCAGACCAATCTGGAGTCAGCCAAAGCCTATCCATGGTTGCTTGGGGGAGAAGGAAGGGAAACTATAGAGAGATGAGAGTGGATCACCAACAGGCGTAAGGAAATGTTTGAGGGTGAGAGATACAGTCACTGTCCTGATTGCAATGATAGTTTCACATATGTCTGCGCATGTTGAATCTACCAAATTGTACACCTTAAATATGTGTGTGTCAGTTATGCAACAATAAAAAAGTTAAAAGGTAGTTGGCAACATGAAAAATAAAACAACATAGAAAATACTCATACCAACATTTAAAAGCACTGTATAAAATTGTACACACTATTATTATAGTAATCAAAAAGCTAAAAATAGTATTTTTGTCATGGAACAATTTGTATATAAAGTAATAGAGAATCTTCATTTTCCATGTTTTCTTTAATGTTTTTCTAACTGTTATAGTTTAAAAATATGCACAACAATATTACAAATATACAAAGCACTGTCTCATCATAATACTTTCACTTAATTTTTTCTACAGGGAATCACATTAAAAATGAATGAGCTAAATCATTGTATTGTCGCAAGAATTATGCATGGAGGCATGATTCACAGGCAAGGTAAGTTTCATCCGTATTACTTTCTTTGCTGTCCTTAACTTTTTTCCTATGGTTCAGCAAAGAAAGTATTTTTTATGATCCATATAAAAGATCTGTTTAACTTACCTTTGGCTTTTCATCACCGTTGACCTCATTTGTTCTTACTTGTCTGCACATGCAACACAGATGAGAAGAGAGGATATGTTAGTGTTCTGCTGGCCTGGATCCCAGATAACTGCATTAGAGGCCATGGAAGACAGAGTATCACATAGCACTCCAGGATGTAGGGGAGACATCTATATCCAAACAGACTTTCTGCTCCTAGTTTTTAAAATATGATTTCAAAAAGCTTCTTCTTAGTATTCTTAGTATTATTCTTAGTATTCTATTCTTAGCTTATTCTTAGTATTTTATTTTTGGCCATTTCTGTCATTATGCTCCCTAATTCATTATTACTATTATTTATTTGTGCCCTTTTTTTTTTCTCTCTCTTGATCAACTGGAACAAACCAACCTCTGGCAACAAACCTTGGCAGAAGTTTGTTTAAAAGTGTACTTTGGAGCTGGGCATGATAGTACACATGTGAAATCTCAGCAGTCTGTAGGACTGAGGCAGAAGGGTCCCAAGGTCAAGCCCAGTCTGGGCAACTCAGTAATTTAGTGAGACCCTGTCTCAGGCAAGGGTGAGCAGGGACAGACACAAAACAGATTGGCTGGGAATGGTAGCTCAGTGCAAAGGCCCTGGGATCAATTCTTAGAATGGAGTAGGAGGTTCTACTTTCTGACCTAATTTTTGTTACCTCCTTCCTTCTACTCTCTATTGGTTTTGGCTTTTAAAATTAGATATTTACTTCATTTATTTCTAGTCTTTTTTTCTAATATAGGCGGTTAAACTGAAATCTCTAAGTACTGTTTTATCTGTAACAACAGTTTTGATATACAGCATTTTTATTGTAATTTAGTTCTAAGTATTTATACATGGGTTTTTATGGAGAGCTTTCTGTATACATTTTTGTGATTTACTTGTAACTTAATTTTATGGTCACAAAATGTGGCCTGTATGTACCATTCCTTTGAGGTTTGTTGAAACTTGTTTTATGTCATAGCACTGTAATCATTTTTATAAATGGTTCAGTTCAGCGTGCAGTTAAAAAGAATGTATTTTTTAGTTGTTGCATACAGAGTTCCCAATATGAGTAGCTTGGCATTGTTAATATTTCTATTCAAATCTTCTCTATCTTGATTAAATTTTATCTACTTAACCTATTAATAATTGTTAAAATATCCTATTATTATGGTAGATTTTTGTCAATTTCCATTTATAGATATCTCAGTATTACCCTACATAGTTGAAGCTGTGCTATTAGGTGTAAGAGTATCTAGTGACAACTTCTATCCTTAATATTTTCTATGTGAGAATTTTTATCTAGCATTAATGTTGCTATTCCAGCCTTGTTTCAGTATTTACTAGCGTATCTTTTTCCATCCTTTTGTCTCTAATTATTTTGTGCCTATATGCTCTAGTGTGTCTCTTTCAAACATTTCTAAAGTTGAGTTTTTATATTTTTTAACACACTCTAATGATCTCTATCTTTTAATGAGTTAGTCCAATAAGATCTATTGTGATGATTTGTATCATCTTGCTTTTTTATATACATTTATTTTTCTGTGTGTAGGTGGGGAGGGTACTGGAGATTGAACCTGAGGCCTTCACACTGAACAACATCCCCAACCTTTTATGTGTATATGTGAGACTACACAGTCTCACAAAGTCAGTTACCCAGATTGGTTTGAATTTGTGTTCCTCCTGCCTCAGCCTCACAGAGTGCTAGGATTACAGACCTGTACCTTGTTCAGTATTTTTATTTCATTTTACAGTACATCCACTGGTAGTTTAGAATTTTAGCACTCTATTTCTATCCTTTTAGTGTTCCCTTGAAATTTTATCATGCATATTTAACTTTCTATACTCTAAACAATAAATCCCATTCCTAAATAATACAAAGACAATGGGACCCTAAATTTGATAATACTCTGTCTTACGTATTTTTTATTGCTTGTGTTCTAGGTCTGACCTGTTTTAAATCTACAAATTTAAGCCAGTTCTGTAATTCCAGGTACTCAGGAGGATAAGGCAGCAGGATGACAAATTCCAAGCCAGCCTGAAACATTTAGCAAGACCCTGCCTCAATTCTTTAAAAAAGGGAACTGCTGTATGTAGTTCAGTGCTAGAGTGCTTGCCTAGCAGCAGAGAGCCCCTGGGTTCAATATTCAGTACTGAAAAAAAGTATAACATTTAAATTAACATTAAAATATATGGGACTAGAGATTTAACTCAGCGGCATAAGCACCTGCCTTGCAAGTGCAAGGTCATGAGTTCGATCCCCAGTACCAAAAGAAAAAAGAAAACATATGGCCACTTTGATTTGGGTTTTATAAATCCTTGTGATTTTATTTGCTCATCATTCCTTGTTGCATCTCAAAACATCCTTTGGAGGACACTAATACTGAAAACTCAGATGTTCTTGTAATTGTCTTTGCTCTGTAGATAATCTGTCCTTTCTCTATGGATATTTTAAAGGCCTTTGATGTCCTACACTTCCACTGTGTCTCACAAGGGATTTCTGTTTATTGATCCTGTTTTGGATATTGTTCTTCCTGCATCTACGTGATCATGTTTTCATCAGTTCAAGAAAATTTGCAATTATTATTTCTTCAAATGTTATTTGTTCTCTTTTTGAACTCCAGTTAGTGTATACTAGACATTTCTCCCATATCTCTTAATATGTTTTTCACATATTCTTTATTTTTTGCTTCCTATTTTCTTTTTTTATTTTTTAAATTTTATTTAAAGAGAGAAATAAAACAAAACAGGAAAACTGTATTACAAGTAATACAGAATTTCAAAAAAATAAACAGTAAGAAATCACTAGTTAACAGATTACATATTGTCATCTTAGAAATAGTTGCTCAAGTTACACAATTAAAGCACATAAAGTGGACATTCAAACAGTAAGACTGCAAACAGTTCTGTTCAATGATCCAACAAAAGTCAGTAATATGGTTATCTCTCTTACATACTTAAATATATATGCAGTTATATCCTTTAGAGCACTTTCTTTTCCTCTTTTTTACAATAACAATTACACATTTTGGGTTTTATCACTCCCACAGTTCTTATTACTTTTTTTGAAGAGAATAAAACCAAATGTGACAAAACAAAATTGAGTCAGTCAAAACAAAAAGATGGACATAGTACATGATGTAAAAACAGAATACAAGGTAATCAACAATGGTTACCATGGTGCCTCTTGCTATCTTAAAAAAGAATTGCCTATATCATCAGGTATAGTAAGATTGAACAAAACAGTAAAGAATAAAACCAATAAAATCAAAACATTGGAAACCTTATAAGACTTCAAAAGAAGATAATAGTCAAACCAGAATGGGCATCATAGTGAATCTCATTGCCTTTACAGTAGTTGCCTATACCCTCAAACTTGATACTATCAAACAAAACAGAGTAAAATCAGTCAAAACAAGATGGTGAGTTGCTTCCTATTTTCTTTATGTCTATTTTTTGGACCTACATTCTAGATAATTTTTTGGTTAGTGTATCTTCCAGCCTACTAAAACTCTCTCCTGTTATCTAAAACTCCTATTTAACTCATCCATACATTATCTTATTTCAGCATTTATATTTTTGCTTTACTATACTAGTCACTTTTTATTTTTTGTTTTCATATTTGTCTGCTCACATCTGGTAGCCTCTTAATGAGTACTTATCTTTGCAATTGAGTCCTTTATTTTTTTTCTAATATTTAACATATAACTATTTTAAATTCTTTATCTTACCTTTGCAGCATCACTTGTCCTTAAGGTTCTAAATCTTTACTGTTTCTGGTAACTCTCATACCTCACAGCTTGCATGATTATATTTCTGGTAATCTTCTATTGTGAACTCCTTGACTGTTCTAATTAGTGAAAGTCCCGTAGGCCTAAATTGAGAATGCTTTCTGTCAAAGACAATTTGTTCCTTATTCTTCCAGTAGCCATGTAATACTATTGATCTGAGTTTGCTTTCCTACAGAAGCCTGGGTGTAGCTTCTTTAACTTATGTTGGCCCAAAGCTCAGAATCCAACTAGCAAGCATATCTACCTTTCCCACTGGGTCATTCCATGTTAGTTTGCCACCACTGTAGATTCAACTGATAGCATTCTTTTGTGTGCAAAAGAGGGTGGGGATGAAAATGGGAAGTGTTCTTATAGCACTGTACTCCTTTGATGAGACTAGCAACTCTTGAAGAAGTATGCCCTAGGTGAAATGTAATTGTGAGGAAGTCCTTGAGTGCTAAGTCAGCCATATTGGAAGCAAAAGGTCACCCATTATGACAACATAGTGCAGTCGTCACCATGCACCCATAGCCCAGCTACTCATGACCACACTGTGTCCTTCTATATTTTCCATTCTACTCACCATCCTGGATTATTCTTAAACAGCCTCAGGCATAGTATCATTTCATTATTTAATTAAATATTATTTAATTATCCCCATTGGTGTATGTACTGCTGGAAGATACTGTTAGCTTTTCGTAAATAAGCCAAATCAGTATGTATATAAAAGTACAACTTAAAAATAAGGAAGCACAATGTTCAGTAACACTCTGAACATTGATTCTCAGTCACTTTTTCCAGCCAAAATATTGCAGGATGCTGAAATAACTATGATTATTATAAAATATTAAATTGTGTTTAATATAAATTTAATGTTCTGTAAATATCATTACATCACAATTCTTATAGGTTTGACAGTGTTCATCTTATGTTTGCTAGATAGTAACAGCAGCACACACACAGTACCATGTGCCAAGAACAGTTTTAACAGATTCATATTGTCCTCAAAACAATCCTATGAGATGGGTGCTATTTTCATCTACATTTTACAAAAGTAAAAACTGAGTCATGGACAGCTGCAGTAACTTATCCAATATATTAAAGCTAGTAAATGAGGAAGCTGGGGTTCAAACCATACAGTCTGGATCCAGAAGTCATATTTTCAAACCTCTATACATACTGCCTGTCTCAGAAAAGTAAACAAAAAATGCCTTCCACAAATAGATGTATCTGTTTTGAATTAAATAAGTAAGTGATTATTAAATTAAATAATTCTGCTACAGCCAAATTTGAATCAACTTCTGAACTATTGTCATTCAGCTGAATTTTTAAAAAGTATATTGCCACCTTTGAATTTTATTACTACAAAGCATATATCATTTCATGTTTACAAATTTGTGTGTGATTTCTTAGGCACACTTCATGTTGGTGATGAAATTCGAGAAATCAATGGCATCAGTGTGGCTAACCAGACAGTGGAACAACTGCAAAAAATGCTTGTAAGAAAATAAAAGTTTTCCCATTTATCTGAGATCAACTTTGAGTTCATTCATTTGTTTTTTGAATTTATAAATAACAGGTATTTGTTTATAAAGCGTTTTTGGTACCATCATTTGTGTGAGCTTGAATTTATAAAAATTTTCAAGTAGGATTTTTTTGTTTTTCTCTGCCTTTTGAACTCATTTTTATTACTATATATGTGTGATGCATAATACATTTATTCATTGTGGGGTATGGATATATATATATCGCATCTCGTTCCTTTTACATCCCCTTCCCCTCACCTCCCTCCTGTCTCCCACCATGCCCAGATCCCCTCCCATCTCCACCAAGTCTGTCTCCGTTTCCTGTTATCTTTTATTTTGCTCTTCAAATTATTTCTATTTCAGACTTCTCATATAAGAGAAATCGTGTGATATTTAGCCTGTGTTTGATTTCACTTAGCATTATGGACTCAAGTTGCATCTATAGGAAAATATTAAGTGCAATAGAGTTTGGAAACATTTTACCCACCTTTAGCAATGTAACCCTGTCCTTTCACCCTTTAACTGTCCCTTTACAAAACGTTTAAGAAAACCTTACCAGTGTGTGTATGTATGTGAGCTACTTTCTCACAGATCTCAACTGTCTTCATGTCAGCAGTGTCAGAAACCTCTTTCCGTGTTTAGCTGAGTCATAGCCAGCTGTAGTAGATTTCTTTGCAGCACAGATGGGATAACAGTCCCTAAAAACCAGGCTATGATTTGACTGTACATGTCCAAAGTCTGTGTTCATATTAGGCTTTGAGTGTTTTTAAGAAGCAGAGTGGCAGGGCCTTGCCTGTGTTCATCACCACAGTGAGTAAAGGGAGATGTTTTGGACCTCTGATCTCTCTTCTCACTGTAATGTAGCAGCCAGCTTTCCTCATAATGAATGTCTATGAAGTATGAAATAAACACAGTAGCAATACAATAATAAAAAATAAAACCAAAATTAATAGAGTTTTAAAAAGCAAACTTTATGGAGTATACCACCACAGAGTAACATAAATGGATTTTTATATAATTACTTAGTCTATGATCTAGTTCAATTTATAGTCACTTGTGAAAGACAGGTCATTTAAGTGTTTTGTCTTCATGTCTATAAAAAGGTAACCAGCAGAGATATCTGCACCCATTTCTAGAAACAGATCAATCAGCCTTGACTTTGCTGGGATTTTCCCAGAAACTTCTATTCGTGTGAGCAGTCCTTGGTTTATAATTAGGTTTCATTTAATGTCACCTGTGTGACATCAGGTGACTTACACTAATTTCCCCCACACGTTTTGCATGGTTTCTTATGTTTTCATGTGCAACATTTGTTTGTAAAAAGACCCTTTTTGCCCCTCCAGAGGGAAATGCGCGGAAGTATTACCTTCAAGATCGTGCCAAGCTACCGCACTCAGTCTTCATCCTGTGAGGTAATGACTCTAACCAACCACCCCTACCTTTTCTGAGTTCTTAACTAACTGTCTGCTGATGGCTGAATGTTTTTGCTTTCTGGGAAATTGTTTCTGCCTGTGCTGTTAGATCACTGCACACCAATTTTACAACAAAGATAACGGAACAGAGGAGGTCCCTTCCATCTATTCAGCCCTGCTTCCATGCAGATCTCCTCAGCTCCTGAACTTGCAGGCTAAAGTGTAAACCTAATATAGAAAAGCTACAAAGGATGACATAAGGACAAACAGTAGTCTCTTAAGGAAAAAAATACAGATCATAATTTCCAGGAAGTGCATTCATTTCCCTTGTTAAGAAATCATATAGGTAGTTCTTCTTTCTAAGAATCTGAAAAATTATCTATTTCTTTTGAGATAGCATTGTTCAGATAATCACAACAGGTCTTGAGAGTGAATATTAAGTCCTTGATGCACTGATGACTGACTTTACTACAGGGATGTGAGCTCTTGCAACATTTTGTAAAATTGTTTATATTTGGAATGTTAAGTGATTTGTAAACAAGAAAGTTTTGCTAGAGTAACACAACCCCGAAGTTTCTTTGTTTCTTTCTTAAAATAGTTTTTCCCTATAGAAATTGAACCTCTTCCAACCTATATTATTCATTTTTACAGTGACTATTAAATGAGATTCAGAAATCTATATTTGGATATATAAACTGGCATAAACAGTATCATTTTTTAGTCATAGCACATTCAGCTTAAGTATTATTTATTGAAGCTTGTTCTGTCATGTACATCTTCCAAGTATGGCTACATCAACATGAACTATATGTTTTCTAAAGTTAATTTTTAAGATTGGCAGGTAACTTATTGGATTTATACTTAGGAGAATTTGAGGGAAAAATTAGTGATATTGGAAATTTCCAAGAAAAATTCAGAGGCTTCATATTTTTTTTCTAAATTTGCACAATTAAAATTTGTAATTTTGTCAAGTACATTTGTAGTGAGCCCTGACATTTAGGTATTCATTATGTCAGGTCTGGAGCTCCCCTTGGTGGCTTCTTATGGAACTTCAATTAATAGTATGTTTGAAATGAAAATGCAGAAGTTTCTGCTCCACTATTCAGAAGATTAAAATACATTACCTAGAGCATAGACCTTGCCAGGAAAGAAAGAATATCCTGTGCACATTTTGTGTAAATAACTTTAATATTCTAAAATCACAGGTATTCCTCATACCATTTTTCACCTATTGAAGACATTTACTAAGTATAGCTGAATTGTTTTTGTGGCTAGCTAAGAAGATATTGTTAGTTATTAATATAAATTTCTATTTTGTTTCTTCAAGTAATCAAACTAGTTCGGGGATAGTACCAGGATTATACATGTATATTCTATGCTCTTGAATAAGAACCCCCTTCCTATCTTTTTCACCTTTTAATAGTAGAAAAAATAATAATCCTCCCCTTCCAGCCCAACCTGAGTCTTTTTGACTCTCCTGTACTCAAGCAGTATTCAGGCTGTTGAAGATGGCTGGACTCTTCCCAGCCAAGGCCAGACTTCCCACAGAAAGGCTCTGTAGTCACCTGCCTCTCTCTCTGCATCCGCCAGGTCCTCCGTAAAAGACTGCAACTGCTCCCTACCCTGGCCCCCCTAACTTGAGTCTCTGAGGTGGCCCCTGGCTCAGTCTGCTCACTAACATCTGAGAATGTTCCTCGAAAGGATCTCATTTCCTTTATGGCTAGCAAGTTCCAAAAGTTTTCTTTGAATCTTCCAGAGGGGAGGAAATGTCTTTTGAGCAGAAATGCACACTTCAAAGACTTAAGAACTCTACTAAACCAAAAATTAAGAAATACTCATTTTCTTCTTCTCCTTGTTCTTATCATTAAAATCAATTTGGACACTAAGGCAGTGAACCCTGGAAAGGAGTTTGAGTGTACTAAATAGCAGAAAGTGGGTGATCAACAAGTGTGGCTCTAGGGAGAGCAGTGGTTGCTCCTGGGACCTTAGCCAGAAGTGTAACTTCGTTACTGGCCCAAGAATATTGTTCTAATCAATCTGCTAAAGTAACATAAAGAAAAAAGAATTCTTCTCATGTGTATATCCATCTTTTAATCTTACTGTAATATTTATCATAGAAAGATCTAAGATGATTACAACACATCAGGACTTTGTCTTAGGTCTGTTTCTTTTCAAATTGAGTTATTCAATAATGCTTGACACTGAGATACCTAAAATTATTAAATATTTTTCAACCCTAGTTTTTAATTTAAAAAATTAGGCAGTGGGGATCTTCAGCAAGGTCATTTTATAGTGATATTTGTCATCTTATAATATTTGATAGGATTTTAATATAATGTAACTTCTGGGCCCCCTCAAAAGAGAGCAAAAGTTATAGAATGTGGGAGACAAAAAAGAAATGATTAATGACAATGCATTCATCACTTACAGTATGTGAGTCTTCAAACTGCAAAGGTTTTTTTTCAGACTTTTGTGAAATCATGCAAGTCAGTATGACACCTTTATAGTTCAAACCTCAAAGGAAATGGTTGTCAGACTGTGGTTGTAACTGTTGATGTGAATATCTCTGTTTTTCTGTTCTGGTGTTCTGTGTTAATGAAGCTTGTGTCTTATTTCAGAGAGATTCCCCCTCCACTTCCAGACAGTCCCCTGCTAATGGTCATAGCAGCACTAACAATTCTGTTTCGGTAAGAACTCTAGCTCCACACAACAAAGTGTGACAATTTTGTTGGTGCTCACCTGCCATGAGTGTTCTAGTTACATGTGTTCAGTGGAAATAATTGTCTTCTGCAGATATACAAGGCTACTACAGCTACAATGTAGTTTTCTCCTGGAAAATCTTTTCCAACATGTTCTTCTTAAAAATTCCTTTCATCAGTTTCATTTAAACAAATGTAGTTTGAGACTGCTCTGGTCATTCTAAAATTAACTCTATGTCACCACACCAGTATGGATAACTTTACTGAGACCTACCCAAAGGTGATAAGTGGAATTTGTCTTAAAGTTTCTGAATGTTTTAGAATCTGGTAACAGATAAAGAAATGGAATGATATTGCAGAGTAGGCATTTGGGTGTTCGTGGGCTTTATAGTTTTCCATCCTGAGGGATATCAGCAACATGTTTTAGTTTCCGCTATCTAAGTTTACGAATTGGTGTGCCCTCTGTTATTGTGGTACGTGCACATATTTTCGTGAATTTTAAGCCTTGCCTGGATGTGAAAAGCAAAAGAAACTGGCTTCACACTGCACTTAAGCCACGCTATTATCACATCTTTAACACAAAGTACTTATATTTGATTCAAACTTGAAAATTTTCCATTTTTTCACAACTCTCCATTTTGGAATATAGAATTGCTCTTTTAATTTATTTAAACAAATGGAAGCACGCACACGTGCAGGTTTGCAACCTTTGGGGGTAACAGAATCTTCTGTAAGTTGCTGATGCTGCAATTAATTACTCAGTTACAATTGCGGAGAGTTTTAAGAATGCAGCAGTATTGCTTTTTTCCTGACTTTAATTTGCCCTATAAAAATGTATCAGTTTTATTCATAATAATAATTTTACCTTTTGAGAGATCATATCAACTGGAATGATATTCTAAGTCTGTCAGTGAGAGAAACTCTGTATAATGCTGCACACTAACCAGTTGTGCCACGAGAGCCGCAGTAAGAGAAATTTCTGAAGAAAATTGTCCATGACTTTATTTCCAACTTTGAAATAGGGTTACCAAAGGAATTCATTTATAACAGTTAACATGTAATACTTTTCAGATGCTAGAAATCCATAAGACATTGAATTTTTCAAAATCTAAACGGTTGGAGTGACTGAGTTCAAAAAGGCAACAGTTCTTTTTAGTTTGGGGTTTTTTTTAAATAGGCTATTTCACTTGCAGTGGCTTTTGTGTTGAAGATGCTGAGTTGTTTCTTAAGAACACATTTTCTCTGTGCTTCAACTTACCTGCTTTCTTCAGCTTGCTGCTAAATGGCCTGGGTTTGATTTTTTGATAACTCAACATTTCTGAGAAATGAAATAATGCATATGATCTCTTTACAACTTAATTGTAGCTCATTTTTAACCATATTGTAACAGAACACACAAATTACCTTGTGCTCTTGATAAGTAAATGAAAATTTTTCTCCTGGGTTGGCTTTATTCTACAGGACTTGCCATCAACTACCCAACCAAAAGGACGACAGGTGAATAGATATCCTCTATAGAAACTTCTCTAAACTGAGCTGCTAATAGCCAATCCTTTATTAACCCTTTCCATCCCATAATGTCTGCATTTTGGACCATAACATTTGAGCGTTGAGAGCTTGTACCATTTCATTTTAACACATTACACATGACTAATTCTTTATAAAGATTTTTCCTTCACATCTTCGTAGCTGTGCTGGTTATTGTAATTTCAACCTGATAATTTCATGTTGATGGTTATGAATTCAGCCTCTAAAGGTCTTATGGGCCTGCGTCTGGGCTGGAAAAGAATTTTAAATATTACAAAATTTATAGAACTCTAAAAATAAGTAAAAGTACATGTTGATAAATACTTTTAAGCAATTTTCTGAAAATGAAAGCTTTTTCTTAAATTTGTGTTTTTGCTTCTGTATTTCTAAAAACCATTGACAATGAAAAATAAGAAAAAAAAGTCACTTACCATGAAAAGTAAAAAAGACCATAAATATTCTGGCTCCTAACTATGCCTGTGTTAGTTCATTAGGAAAAGTTAAGTGCTGCTTCATACTAGCAAGTAACTTTATAATTGTCAGCACTTTAAAGTACAGATTTTAGGTGAGGATGCAGGTACTTGTTAATTTTATAGGCTGAATTGCAAAAAGTAAACGGAACATATCACACAGTATTTCCAAAGCCTTCAGGTTGGTTTTACAGTGACTTAAACATTAATATTCAAATTTATTTTCAAGAAATAGAATTTTATGGGATTTTTTGCTAAAATGTGGTGTTTAAAATGATCACAGTTTGAATTTAAGAGCTGCATAAATTAGCACTAGATAGAATTCACCTACAGTTTAGTCTTAAGACTGCCTAAATGATATAACATCGAATATGCCATCCCATACTTTAAAGCATTTAGAAAACAAATAATTCATAAAATACTGCCATATCGTAACCCCATGAGTAGTAATTCATTTCTTAGGTATATTTGCATATTATGAGACTCATAACCTTGAACTATGCATATTTTGTGACGCTGAGCTGATTTCAAGTGGTACTTGGCTAAGATAGGGTTCAAGTTCATAATTATTCTCTAAAGAGAATAAAGCACAAATATAAAGCATAAATCCTTTTAAAGAAGTAAAACTTATTTTTTAACCTTGTAAAAACTCGCATCACATTTAAGTTAATCAGCAGTGTGTATATGCTGCCAGTTGTCATGTTAACACTTTAAAGTAAGATAGCAGCCCAGCATTCTTGCTACTTTTATATCACATGCTGCTTTAGAGCTGAAACCTACCTTGACCTCTGGTCATTATGGCTTAAAGGTTGCCATGTGGTCATGACAACTTAATCCATAACATCAGTATAACTAGTGCAAATTTTAAAATGGTGGGCATATGTCTCTAATCATAGACCCATTCTGTTTGATCAAAAGCAGAAATTAAGTCTTTATTTTTATTAAATAAGTATTTTGAGGGTTCTTTCCAAATACAAACAGTGAAGTTTTGAAACTAGATGTCAAATTAGCATATTATTTCAAGTGATAGAAATTTCTTGTGTTGTATTTCCATGCATCGTTTTGCTTTCACCATCTAATGTCCTGTTTGTACTGTTGATGTGTGGTTTTAGATTAGTGCTCACTGTTTTCCTTCACATCACAATGGCCTCCTTTCTTACAAACTCCTGTTTTATAGATCTATGTAAGAGCACAATTTGAATATGATCCAGCCAAGGATGACCTCATCCCCTGCAAAGAAGCTGGCATTCGATTCAGAGTTGGTGACATTATTCAGATTATTAGTAAGGATGATCACAATTGGTGGCAGGGTAAACTGGAAAACTCCAAAAACGGAACTGCAGGTCTCATTCCTTCTCCTGAGCTTCAGGAATGGTATGTCTTTGTTATTTAACACTAAAGATGAAGTCCTGCCCATCAGTTTTCCACTTGATATCATTTCATAGCACCTGTTTGTTATATTCCTTCCAAACAAAATCTAAATGAGTCATCCAAAAACTCTCAATTCTTCAGCATCTAGAGGGGTACTTGTTACAGTCAGATCGCAATTTATGTATAAAGGAAGAAAGGTCTTCAAAGAGGTACAATGACTAAGCTCAGGTCACATCAGCAGAGCCCTCCACTCCTACAAGCTGTTGCAATCCTTTTTAAAATGGCATCTTCTTACAGTTGAATCTTCTCCTTGTCCCTCTGTATGCTTTCATGCCCATTCTGCCCATCACCAGCAAAAATCACTCAAAGCCTTGATTCATTGCCAGGCAGGGTACTTAAAGATAAAATCTGTTTCACTACTGGAAGAAAAGACAACCAGAAGCTTTGTTGTTTACCTTGCCAAATTTTTAAGTGCCTTTTGTAGACTGGAGGGGCCTCAGTAATACAGTTCTTGCCTGGCATGAGCAAGACCTTAGGTTCTGCCCCTAGCACTGCTGAGAGAAGAAGGAAAGGGAGAGGAAAAAATACCTATTTTGTTAGGAAGCCTATGCTCTATCTAACAGCCAGCTAAAGTCAGACAGTGTTGCAGACCCTGTTTTTAACTGAGAGAAGGGGAGACATTGATCAGTGCTTATTTTGGTAAAATATGTTTCCACCATTAGTGTTACAATTATTTATTTGAACCTTTTTAATATTTATGGTATTATCTTTGTCAGTATTTGAGCGATATTTATCAGAAATCTGTGCAGAAGAGATAACCTAATGTCGGAATTTTATTGCATTTAACCAAAAATGCCTTCCTCTCTCAAAAAAAAGCCCAGAACCCACTTAAAAGCTACCAATGACATTGACCAGAGACATTCCTAACAGTTTTTTCTACTCATTTATCTCACTAATTAAGAGCGGAATCTCTTTTGCTTGGTAACCTCTTTCAACTACCTCGTGTTTTCTAAAAATATTTAGAATATTGAGGCCCCTGAGGACTTGAGATGCCATCATTTTACATGTGAGGAAATGTGGACAAACAGAAATAGCAGCTTTCCATCTGGCATTGACTTTCAATCTGATCTTTAGAAGACAGTTTAGCATAAGCAGAAGGAAAGTGATTTCTAAGTCATTTTGATGGTGACAGTCTTACTGATATTTACATTTTGCAAATGTCTTCTTAGCTGGGCATGGTGGCACATGCCTATAATCCCAGAACTCAGAAGCCTGACGCAGGAGGATTGCTGTGAGTTCAAGGCTATAAAATGAGTTCAAGTTGCTCTGTCAGCCTTGACAGAGCAAGACTATGTCTCAAAAAAACAAAAAGCCTTCTTGAGTGTTGTTATATGTTATAAACATTTATTAAAAATAATTATGTAGATTATAGCCCTCTTCTCCCTATATCAGTTATGTCCCACCAATATCTGAGTCCTCTGGAAGAATCTTGACAAAAAAGCAGATTGGTTTCTTCTTTTCCATAATGACATACTAGATTATCTGGCTCAATATTCCTGTTGAAAAAAAACTGAAAAGTGCTACAGAAACTATGCTTTTTAAAATGACCATGAGCCAGGCATGGTGGTGCATACTTGTAATCCCAGCATTCCCAGCTGAGGCAGGAGAAACATTGCAAGTTCAAGACTGGTCTGTGCTACAAAGTGAGCTCACGGCCAGCCTGAACTGCATAGTAAGACTGTCGCAAACACACACACACACACACAAAGATGACACTGAAGTCACTGAATAGCTGAAAAGGTAATGGGAACTCAATGACCAATTTTTCTATGAAAACATGTAATCAGTGATAAGCAGAATAAAATAGTACCAAATTGCCCATTTTTCCAATAGGGCATTTACTCTTACTAAACAATAGGAGAACCAAGTTTAAGACATTAAGACTAACTAAATGGACAATCTCTTAGGAGCCTCTTTCCCACACTATTTGAACTATAAAACATAATACTCCCAAGGTATCGCAAGCAGATAAGCAGACCTGTACTCTCCTTCAACCAGAGGACTGAAGAGAAGGTTGCTTTGTTACTGAACAGAGCAAAAGATGCAAGTAAAAGGAGAACGAATTACTGCCCCACCATCTTAACAGAAACTTTTTCTAGGTCAGTGAAGAGCAAGTGTGAGTCACCAGGCACCTGAGGAAGCAGGAAAGATCCAACTGACATGACAGTGCCAAAGACAAACTCAAGCCCACTTCATTGGAATTAGGAGACAAAGGTTTTAAAAACAAGTTTTTCTTGGTTTTTAAAAAATCAATAATAAGCTTGAAAAATATGTTAAGGGAGCCAAAAAAATTTTAAAGGATATAGCAGATTTGAAAAAAGAACAAAAAGGGGCTAGGGATATAGCTCAGTATCACAGTGCCTGCCTATCAAGTGCAAGCTTCTGAGTTCAATTTCCAGTACTAGGAAGAAGAAGAAAAAGAACAAAAGGAGCTTCCAATGGGAAAAATATAGTAGCAAAGTTAAAATGTCAGTAGCCACACATGCATTAGACTGACTAAAAAGCTTCATCAGTAGATGAATAGATAAATTATGGTACATTCATCCAATGGAATGCTACCCAGCAATAGAAAAAAATGAACTGTTGATACATACAACAGTGTGGGTAAAACCCAAAGGCATTCTGCTAAATGAAAGAAGTCAGACGAAAAAGAGAACATACTATATGATTCCATTTATATAACATTTTGAGAAATGTAAACTAATCTATGGTGTTAGTAATTGCCTGGGGATTGGAGATGGAAGGGATTACAGAGGAGCATGAGACAATTCCAGGGATAATAAAAGTGTTTATCTTGATTGTGGTAATGATTTCATAGCATATGCACATACATCAAAACTTACGACTCTTTATGTTCAGCTTGAGAACTAAACTTAAAGTTATTAAAAATATATATATATATAGTACGGCAGCCTAGCATGCTGGTGCACACCTGTAATCCTAGCTCTCTGGTTGGCTGAAGCAGGAGGATTGAAAGTTCGAGCCCATTCTAGGCAATTTAGCAAGATCTTGTCTCAAAAAAAAGAGTGAAAAAAGAATTCTGACTAGGATGTGAAAAAGAGGGCAGCTAGGTGGAGTGTCCCTTAAGACCTAAGTATGATTTTAAGAGTGCCATTTCTGGTTAAGAGAAAAGAGCAGTTTCCCTCTGGGTGAAATTGAGTTTGTAGAATGTCAATGGATACGTGACACTGAACAGAAAGATTTAAAATAATATTGTCAGCTTTTCTCAAATGCATTGCTACCAAGTCACATTTTTTACTTCCTCTAGAAGAAAAATCTGAATTTTTGGACCCAGTGCTTTGTGGTAGGCATATTGCTCTAATCATCTGATGTGTTGAGGTCCCTGACTCTGTCGTCCTGAACATTGCTTGCAAGATCCTCATCCAGGTCATCACAGAAATAAACACGTTTGAACTGTCCCTCCAGGTTGACCTTACCCTTTACAGTTGCTTTGCACTGACTGAACTAAAAGAAATAACATTTACTTCCTGAGTGGCTGGTAAGAGTAAATTTCGTCTGCCATCATACCACATATGATTCACCACAATTTTTACTGAAACTTGGTTTTATGTTTTAAGCTTTAAAATACTTATTATAAGACTCCTTGTACTTTATAGCATAGGCTTCCCAAGGTCAAGATTTTGTTTCTTTTAACCTGTCAAAAATTTCACAATTCTATCATGTTTCCAAAGCTCCTATGCATCAGAGTTGCTAATTACAGTTGTTAATTACAACTAACAGCACATACTTAGACCAGAAGAACCTCCAAAGATCAGCCTTCGTCAGCCTTCTCTGTATGCCACATAGGTAGCATGCAGGCATTGACTTTGATGCTGTCACTGGGAGTTTATAGTATTTCCTAGGACGTGTGTTCTCCCAAACCAAATATAAACAAAAATCTCAATGAACAATAGACGGTAGGGACATGGAGGACAATCTCTTTAATAAAAGACAAAAAAATCCCTCAACTCATATTATGATACCTGCATTATCCTTGTATAAAAATTGAGGTAAGGCAATTCAAGAAAAGCTACATACTAATATCCATCATAAACATACATGTAAATTTCCACAGCAAAATACTAGCAAACAGAGTCCAACAATATATAAAAAGGATAAAACATCATAGTCTAGTGGGGTTTGTACTGAGAACTCGTGCTTGTTTCAGCATTTGAAAGTCAATCTACAACCGTTTTAACAGACTAAAGAAGAAAATCCACATGGTTGTATCAACAGATACAGGCAAAGCATATGATAAAATCCAATCATTGTTAAAACTGCCACAAATTATGAATTAAAGGGAACCTCCTTAATCTGATAAAGACCATCTACCATCTAATATTATTGGAAAGGGGAAACATTTGCAGGTGATATGATTCATAAAAATTCAAAGGAATCCATAGCTAAACAATTGAAATCAATATGAGAGTTTAACAAGGTTCCTGATAAAATCAGTATATAAAAATAAGTTATATTTCTGTTTATCAGCCACAAATAGAAAATAAAACTTTTAAAAGATGCCATACATAACAACACCTATAACATCATAATACTTCTATGCTCAGAAAAGTAGTAAATCCTATATCTGATTAAGCTTCTATATTACCTATTTACAGGAAGTACAAAGGGCAGAGGAGCATACTAAAGACACCATAGAGGACAATCAAAATATTCACCCTTCCAGAAACTGCAGAATAAACAACAGGCCTCTATAGCAAATTGCAAGGAGAAAAAAGAGAAGGAACCTATAGATCTAGAAATAGTTAAGACTGGGGCAGCGGCTTTAGCTCAGCGGCATAAGCACCTGCCTGGCAAGTGCGAGCTTGTGAGTTCAATCCCTGGTACCCCAAGAAAAATCTTTAAAAAGATTTAAGACTAAAGAAAAATTTATCTACTCATGTATTTGTTTGAAAATAATACAGGGATGAGTGGTGTATAAATATATAAAACAAAATAAACTAATGAATACTTGCTGAAGTTTCATCATAGGTATTTGGGGTTCATTTCTTTATGTTCTTATATATGTTTCAAATTTTCATAATTGCAAAGTGTCTTTTTTTGTAATTTTTTTTTGGTACTAGGTATTGAACTCATGACCTCACACTTACTAGGCAAGCATTTGAGCCACTGAGCTAAATCCCTGGCCCCAAAACTATCTTTTTGTAAATACCATTTACAAAACCTTTTTAGGTCAGCACCCTGGGACCAAATCTAACAAAGATGCTTAGGACATTTACATGATAATATTAAATTTACTGACACATTGAAGAAGACAAATAGATGTGTTATGTTCATAGATTGGAAGACTCAATATTATAGAAACATCTGTTTCTCCCACCTTGATTTTACCAATGTAATCCTGATGGTTTTGAAATTGTCCAGCTCACATTAAAGTTTAGATAGAAATGCACAAGTTCAGAAGTCGCCAAGATGCTCTTGAACAAGAAAGGAGTCTTGCTCTATCAGATGCCAAGACTTATTATAGCCTTATTAAGATAATAATATATGAGTTTAGCGATGCTTAGACAAATCAGCTGAAGAGAATGGATAACCTTAAACCACTTCAATACAGAAAGGGATATTTGCTATGCAGCAGAAATAGCACTGTATAACAGTGTCATGCTGGAGCATAACGGGGGAAAGAAAGAAAATCAGAAGCAAAGTCGGTGCCAGTGCATAAAAAACCAAACTGTAAAAGCCAAAACTGTAAACTTTGAGAAGGTAATATTGGAGAATATCTTCAAAAACTAAGATTTCTTAACAAAAATACTTCCCAAAATGAAAATATTGACAAATTTAATGACCATTAAAAACTACTAAGGTCTATCTGTCCAAAGGTACTATAAAAAAAGTATTAAATCAAGCAACAGAGTGGAAGAAGATACCTGCAACACATATAACTAACAAAGGTACAGTATCCATACTCTAGAAAAAATTCCAGTAAGTCAGTAAGAAAAGGACAACTGAATAGGAAAATCATCAAAAGACTTGCAGTTTTGAACACTTTACACATAGAAAATCCAGTCATATTCTCATTAGTAATCAGTAAAATGTAAACTAAAATCACAGTTGTGTTAAAATGTCTACTATAAAGTAAAAGTAGCGTTACTGACAAGGAAGTGGAACAGCAGGCACTCACACACCATTGGTGGGGATTTAAATCAACACAGCTTCACTGGAAAAATAACTTGCCATTTAGAATAGCACCACCATCAGCATTCTAATAATGAGTTGCGATTTTTCTTATAATTGATTCATCTGGATGTGGTGGCGTGCACCTGTAATCCCAGCACTTGAGAGGTTGAAGTAAGATGATTACTGAGAATTCAAGGCCAGGCTGAGCCTACATAGCCAGACTCCATCTCAAAAACAAACAAAAAAAATGTTTTGATTCATTCAGAGACCCCTGGTGGATCCAAAAACAAAATCATTAAAAAGTAAAACCTTCTGGGACTCTGCCATAAAAAGCAAGTATTTTGCTTCTTCTGACCTAAGACAGCAATTTTTTAACATTTCTGCTTATGTTACCAATGCTGGGTACTACAAGTAAGTAGAGCAAAACTATAATTATATGGTGATTATATCAGAATTTAATTGTAGCATACTTTTTCTGTCTTACCCTACAATCATCCTGTAGTAATAGTACCATTTATTGAAGTCTACTGTGTGCCTGTCATTATCCTAGGGACATTTGCCTTTTTCATTCTAATTCTTTGTAACAGTCATCTGAAAGGCTCCAAAAGGTAAAAGACCCTACTGATAGGGTGAGTTCTGACTACAATCATGGGCTCTGGTGCCAGACCTCCCTTACTCTATTTACTAGCTATGTATTTCTGGCAAATTGCTGAATCTCTGAATCATGCAGTGCCTTCATCTGTGAAATATGACACAATTCTATGTGACATTAGAAAGAATAAATGAGTTAATACATGTACAGGTCCTAGAAAAGTACCTAACAGTAAGTGTTTCATAGCATCTAATGAGTAACAAAACTAGGATGCAAACCAGGCCTGTCGTGACTCAAAATCCCAAGATTTTTCTAGTATCATGTTTGGCTTCTGTGTTATCAGTTAGTATGTGCTAAAGGAATATAATGACATACATAATAAGTAGTGTATATGTTTTTCAAACATCTCTACAAAATTGTCATGCAAACTGAAGAATAGCCTTTATGTGAGTGATTTGACAGGTCGCAATGATTATGTTCATGTTATTTTAATGTAAACTCTTCAAATTAATCATTTTTGTCATTGATTTTTGTTGGGGGTTTTCCCTCTTTCTTTATATACTAGGCGAGTAGCTTGCATTGCCATGGAGAAGACCAAACAAGAGCAGCAGGCCAGCTGTACTTGGTTTGGCAAGAAAAAGAAGCAGTACAAAGATAAATACTTGGCAAAGCACAATGCAGGTAAGGAAAAGCATGTCTGTTACAGAAACTCGGTTTAACATCTCCAAGACCTAAGTAGATATAACATTTCCATTTGGTTGTCAAGGTTCTCTATCCAAAAATTTACCTTGTGAGATCTTCATCAGCTTATAAAACCTTTAAGAAACCCTACTCCAATTAATATGTTGATTATTTACCAGATATTTTACAAGGCTGAACTTCATAGAACACTAGATACCAAGAGTTATTTAAAAGCTCTAGTATACTATTTCCGAATGGTATTTGGAAATAGTATCCCCTGGAACTGCATGAACCCAACACATTAAGTCCTCCCCTGAGAAATGAGAGCTTGAAAGTTTGCCAAGTCTCTGGGATTCTTGCTTTCCTTGGTGAGACAGGCTTCAAGTGGAAAGCCCTCTCTTCTGACTCCTCCCTGCCCTTGGAAATGGCCCCATGACAGATATCTAAGGGCAAAAGTGACCATAGAAGCCGTGCTGCAAATGGTTCAGCAGTTGGTTTGAAAGGGCACAGATGACATGGACACCAACTTGGTTAATCTGTCTCTGTGACTTCTCTTCTTCCTTCATGGCATTTGCAAGCTCCAGAGAGACCACGGATATTATCTTGGCCTTACCTGTGTAGTATGCTTGTCTATGGAAACTTGCATATGATTAAGTCAAAGTCCTCACATATGAAAAATGAAATGAATACCAAAAGAGTATGGTCTGTTATTGCAACAGCATTCCCAGAAGACTCACATGATGTAGCTGTGCTAAAGGAGAATGCATGGTGAAGCACTTACCTTCAGTAACTTCTTAATATGATTTATTTTATAAGAGACTTTTTCTAAAGAATTAAAAGCGTTGACATGGACATTAGATTAGTTCCCAAGGTTTCAGAAATAATTTCAAAAATCAAACATGTAGCCAAAATACTCAAGTGAATTCAATCTGCAAACCCAATTCAACAGTATAATGTTTCTGACAAATATGGAATGCCTCTTTCTCTGTAGAATTAACATTCACTAGGAAATTAACATTCACTGGGAAGTGTAACTTATTTTGCAATTGTATATTAAAAGTGAACATTTCAAAATACTGTGTAATGCAGAATGAATGTAAGTGGCTATGTGGGTTAAGTTTCAGTGGTTTGGTTCAATGAGGAGTCTTTCCTTTTTGCATAATTACATTGTCCCATGTTTTTATTTCTGATAAAATGTATCATTTGTTCTAGTTATGAAAAAAAACATATCATTTGTTTCTGGTTATGTACCAATATAGAGCACTAGTCTCCTAATGCCTTTTTTATTTATTTGTTTTATAAAGGGAAGAAATATTTAAAATAGACGAATTAAATATAATCTAGCAAGTAAATACTCAAGGAGTACTATTTGAAAAAAATGCCTTGCAATGTCAGCAGAACGTTGCTCAACTCAAGATGTCAGTGTTTATTGCCAAGTCTTCCTCGTTGCCTCTGTCTCTATCAGCTTCTAAAACTCTCACATGGTCTAACAGGCCCATGAGGAGATGTGTTGACATAATCTAAATATAAAAAGTATCTATCTATGCTGAGATGATGGCACACACCTGTAATCCCAGCACTTGGTAGACTGAGGCAGGAGGATCACCATGAGTTCAAGGCCAGCCTGGGCTACATAAATGAGTTCAAGGCCAGCCTGCACTACATAGCAAGACTCTGTCTCAAAAAAAAAAATCTATCTCGACTTGTAATTGTACAATATTAAATGATATGTGGATATAGTTGGCATTGAAGTAAAACCTAGAAAAGCAAGGAAATGTCTGGTTAAAGCTGTGAATGCATAATTAGTTTTATACTCTACTAATGCAGGGCATGTAGACATTAGTATTTAGTTTGCCAGTGTTCTTTAATTCCACTCTGAGAAAAACTAAGCAAATTGATTGTAAAACTAGGCCTCTCTAAAAGTTGACAAAGACTCAGGAAAATCAACAGCCAGTTTAGTGGATAGTGTTTTCTACAGTTCATTTTTTCTATTTTTGGGTGTCAGTGATCTTCCATTGTCCCCATTCCCTGATTCCTGATGGGTAGTTCATAGTGGTCCTGCAAATTCACTTATCAGTTTAATAGGGCACTCTGGACAGGACCAGGAATTAGCACACCTCAGTAACTGTGACTTGACAAATCACCTAGCTCCTGTGGGTTTCAAAATAAGGGAGTGAGATAGACAATCAAGGAGATCTCTTTGAGATCTAAAATCTAGTAAATTTAAGGTTCTTCCATCACTAGGCCTGACAAAAGGAGACTATTTAAGGAAGCTGAGTACTCTTGTACTGTCCCATCTGGCAGCTTTAGTAAACTTTGAGCAAACTTTTAGAGCACTAGTCTCCAAATCTTTTAGTAAACTTTTACCTCGTTAGTAAACTTTGTGCATCAAGGTGATAGCCCTTGATATAGAAGACAGGAGCATAGAAGACAGAGGCATCATGAAATTGCTTTTTTCTCTGTCACTGGACATAATACTTGCTACTCCAAACCACTGACCTATCTACATTCTTGTAAAGTTGAAAAAAAAAGCAGAGGGGGGAGCCTATTGCCTCTACCTTTTGTTTTCTTTAGCATTTTCCTAGCCAGTGCTCTTTTTAGGGATTAGAATCTTCTTTGTCATGCTTAAAGGATTATGCTTCATATCAGCATTTGTCTCTGCTTATGAGCCCTCTTTTGAAAGGAAGTCTGAGCTCCTTGAAGGTCTTTGCAGAGCTGCTTAAGTGGTTTTTTGTTGTTCTTGTTGTTGTTTTGTTTTGTTTTGTTTTGTTTTTTGCAGAACTTTATATTGAGGCTTATCTGACTCTGTCTTTGGAATATCACTGTTAGTATCCCCTCACCTGCAAAATAATCACTCAGATTTCCTTTTCGTTTCTGCGGTCAGGAGAAGGTAACTAGCCTTCCTCCTGGACTTTCTGAACTACTCTTCCCTGACAAAGCCCCACATCCCTTTTTGTCATATCTGTTAGGGTGTCTTCCATTCTATCACTTAACTTTCCATCTTGTTTATTAGGAAGTCCAGAGGAGCCATTTGCTTAGTGGTTACCATTATTTTACAGGAGATGAGGTTGTCAGGAAGAGAATTCAGGTGTTTTAACAGCTGTTCTCTTTTAGCTAGCATACAATGTCATTCTGACAGAATTGTCCATGTAAAGAATTGCTCTAAAAGTGAGAAACCCTATACCATTGACTTCTATCAGCAAGACAGGTGCTTTTTTTTTTTTTTTTTTCATTTTTATCGGTACCAGGGATCGAACTCACGACTGCCTGCTTGCAAGGCAGGCGCTTATGCCGCTGAGCTAAATCCCCAGCCCCAAGACAGGTGCTTTGAAAGCTTGAAAATGTCATAGTCTTTCATGCCAAGAACTAGCCAGATGGGCTCAAATCATATTTCCAAAGGATTTTTCTGGCTATTTCCGAAGTTGGTTATAAAATATAGTATGCTTTTTGATCTTCGTGTGGTGCATAGTAAATTAAAATAAAGCCATATGTTTTGTATCCTGTTCCAAATCTTGAAGAATTCATCATATATTAATGGCAAGATCTAAACCTTATTATCAAATCATGTAGTGGATTGTATTTGTGGTAAAAACAAAGGATGGAAACTTTGTCAATACCTAGAACTTATAGAAACATTAATACCATAATTAATTATTTCAATTCCTATCACTAGGAAATTTCACATATCTAGTTAAAGCAGAATTCTGTGGCAAGCTATTAGCCAAATTTGACCCCTAAGTAAATTATATAAACATACACATATACATACACAATGTTTAAAATAATTGTATACCCAGGCACAGTGGCATTTACCTGAAATCCCAGCTACTCAGGAGGTTGAGGCAGGAGGAGCGTAAGTTTGGGACCAGCATGAGCAATTTAGTAAGGCTCTGCCTCAAAATAGAAATACAGAATGGCCTGGAATGTAGCTCAGTGGTAGAGTGCTTGCTTAGCATGTGCAAGGCCCAGGGTCCAATCCGCAGTGTGGCAAATAATAATTTTATGTATTATCCTATTTGAAAGTCAGATAATTTAATATAAAACTCTGAGTTTCAGACTTCCTTTGAAAGAATAGAGAATGTGGCAACACTGAGCCACTTCCTTTCACAGGGACTCTGGGCTATTCATATCCCATTATGATGGACCTTCATTCTCCAGGACCCACCATCCCCACCACCCTTTTTTTGTGTCTGGTTCACTTCATTCAACCAGATTAGCTACCTGCCCAACACAGGCATCGATTTTACACTCTGTGGCCCTGTACTGCCAGTGTACAATCCCCTTTTTATTTGGAGGCTTTTGCAGTATTTTGAAGAACTCAGCTTTTCAAAATGAGACAAGGATTCAGTGTTAACTTTTTATGGAAAAAATTCAACCAGGAAACATTTATGTAAATACTTAACAGAAGTGTCTAGAATGTTGCCAGAAAATCAAAGAAATATAATCAAACTGTACCAGACACTATTTCTGAATCTTTGGGAATACATTTGATTATGATGTATATGGTATTCACAACAAATACATTTTCTACAACATGTAAAAGCCACACGCACTTGGTATAGAAAGTACTATTGTGCTGTTAGAACTGTACTCTTAAAGCACTGATATTCCTTAGCACCAGGATTTCCAAAAGTCAGTTTTAGATTAACTTACAAATGTAATTTTTTTAATGAGAAAGTCTTCATTAATTCATTTTTTAAATGTTAGAGCCCTAAGCAGTAATATTTAAATATTCCAAAATATTCTATTTGTAGACATACATAACAATTTATCTACAACCATTCATAGGTGTGTTTAAATTATGCTTAATATGAAAATACTTTTGAGTTTTAAAACCTATCCTGTTCTTTTTTTCTTGAGAACAAAGAACTCTAAAACACAAAAAATGGCCCAAGCCAGGCTTATGGTCCAGGTTGTCATCCCAACACTCTGGGAGGTTCAGGCAGGAAGATCACAAATCTGAGTTCAGGCTGGGCAACTTAGTGACTTAGCAAGACCCTATCTCAAAATTTTAAAAAGATGGGGATATAACTCAGTGTAAAGGCCCAGTACCACAAAACAAAATTTTTTTAATCTAAAAAGTGAGCCAGAACCTCACTGTCCTGTTGGAATTTTATTTTTTTTAAAATAATACAAGTAGACCTGGAGGTGGAGCTCAGTGGTAGAGTGCTTCTGTGTGAGGGCCTGGGTTCTATCCCCAGCACTGCAAAAAATAATAATAATGAAAGTAATAGGCACAAACGACTAGAAATTACAAACAGTAGAGAAAAGTACAAAGTAAAAATCAAAATGTTTCTATACCTGTGCTCTCTGAAGAGGATTTTTTTGTAAATCCCCACATGAAATTTCTACATACATGTATATGCTAGTATATAAAATCCATTGGCTTTTATATAAGGATATAATTGAATTTTTATTAAAGTGAGTTTGTTTCTTAATGTTATTTATTTGCCTTGTGTTTAGAATATTGCATGATAAAGTTTATTTTGTGCATATTATACTTTTATTTTACTAATAAATGAAAAGCCATATTTCAATGACCCCTGTACATTTTTCATGCTGTCTCACTCCCAATGGCCTCTGTGCATGTAAGTAACCTGTTGAATGACTATGCCTCTGTGTTTTGACGGTTTCATTTTATTAAGTCCTTTTTTATCAGCAAGCAACTTAAAACCTTTAAAATTCAGTCTTTAAGTACTCTCCTAACTTTCTTGTATCTCTTATTTTAAAATATCCCTTTTCATTGTTTCATAACCCTACAACCATGTGGCAGTCTCATTTAGACCAAGTAACGTCTTAATGTTGCTCATTCCTGGTTAAGATACCCATGTTTAACATATCTGTTCATTCATTTATGTTGTTGATTGTTGATATCTAACTCATTCTTATATGTTTTTCAAAAATGACAAGTCTTACACTAGGAATGTAGCTCAGTGGTAGGGCTAAGATTCAATCCCCACTAACTCAAAAAAAAAAGAAAGAAAAAGTCAATTCAGTAGGACTGAAGTACTAAAGTTAAGGCTCTAGATGGAAAGGATGTGTGTACCATTCAGAATGCTTGTGTCATCATCATCTTGCTCTTTTATGAGATGCTTGATTATTTCTGTATATAAAAACATATCAGCTTGTTGGTGTACTTCTCTCATAAGCATGTTTTTCTTGATGGAAATATTCAGAGGGCAGTAGGTACAAAAAGCAATTCCATAAGCACCCCTTTTATTTTTGCGACTCTCATCACTTCATTACCACTGCAACATAACCCAATAGTTCTACTGCAGAGAGCCTCATATTCATTTTAATTTTATGAGTGAGCCATTCTGAACACAGAAAACATCTGTCTGGTTTTAGCTATTTTGTGAAAATATGCTGTAAAGACTTTTAGTCAACCTTTCCGGAATCAAGTTACCCATTAATATGCACTCACCCTTATTTTAACATATCATACTTCTTTTCATATATTTTTTTCATCTGTAATCCCAGCACTCAGGAGACTGAGGCAGGAGGATCACCATTAGTTCAAGGCCAGCTGGGCTACATAGTGAGTTCAAGGCCAGCCGAAACTACATAGCAACACCCTGTCTTTAAAAGCCAAATAAATAAATAAATAATTTTTTGAGAATATTTGATGCTTTTTGTTCATTTGTTTCTGATCTGTTGCATTCCAGAGTATCTTATGTTGCATTTTAAGATTCTTTGCTATTGGGCAAATCACAAATATTAAGGGCTAAGCTGATAAAATCATTTTACCATACTGTCTCAGAGAGCAAAAGCTCTTGTAACAACTAACCAAAGCATCCCAGATTCCTTGTGGCACCATGGCATCAGTTTTACTGAATTTATTTCAAACCATCTAAAATCCAGGGCTAATTCTGTATTTTAAATAGAAACTTCAGTGCATGCCTGGCAACATTTGCATATGACCATGTTTTTAAAATTTAGTAAACATGGATACGTGATTTTAACCTTCTTACGAGAATTTCAAGTGTGTGGGAGAATCGGACCATGTTGAAATTCGACAGGAATGGTCATCCACTCAGAAAACTTTTACACATCGCCTGAAATTGTTTCTGTAGTTGTTTTTCCGTTGTTAAGAGGATGGTTTCAGAAAACAGTATTTTTAAAGTATTTCTTCCCAGTCTGTAACAATTAGAAAACTCCTCTTTTGCAAAGGTTCAGACTCTCCTTCGTGTTCTTTCCATCCTGTCCATCCTGATTTATCACACAGAGCTTCCTACGTAAGGACTGACATAGCTTCAGGGCCAGGGGAGCATGTTCCTCTACTTATGCACCCCACACTTCCATAGAATGGGTATCTGGGTCACAATAAAACTTTTGAGATGCTGCTTTAAAAGCCTGTGAAACAGTTACAGAACTTCCCTTTATAGCATGCTACCTTCATCAACTCTGTTAAAAGAAAGAACCATGACGTTCAAAGCCAGCTGACCATATATTTCTCATCCATCTCTAAAGGGATCAAGCTGGCCCATCTCTTAGTTGGCTTTAGTTGTATTCATGCGCTATTCATGTGGTCACTGTCTATAGACTTTTTCTTTTTTTAGTATTGCCGATTTCTTAGAAATGTAAAATTATGAACAGCATGTGGTTTTGAATGAATTCATATGTTGGATACTGCATGAAAAGTTATGTAGTATCCTTTAGAACTGGACTTTATGCATGTACTCAACATATCTTTGGATGCCCCTAGTTCTAAAGTGCATTTTCATGGGCTTAAAATTGAAATTCTCTCCCTAAGGGCTATATGGCTTAAATTACCTATAAGCCATGTATCATAAGTTGGATTTATATTTTTAAAGACATAGTTTTAATATAACCTAGTTTCAGTAAAATTACAATTTACCTACATGAAATCTCCATTCCACAAATTTACCTTTCTTCTAAATCTTTGCATTTTAGTGTTTGATCAATTAGATCTTGTCACATATGAAGAAGTAGTAAAACTTCCAGCATTCAAAAGGAAAACACTAGTCTTATTAGGTAAGTTTGAATATATAAATCATTTGCTTATTCTTAGCTTCAAAACATCTTGGAAACATTATTAACAGTTGTCAATTTTAACATTCTTTTCAAAAAATGACATAGGTGCACATGGTGTTGGGAGAAGACACATAAAAAACACCCTCATCACAAAGCACCCGGATCGGTTTGCGTACCCTATTCCACGTGAGCAATGGTTTAATCTCTTTTAATTCGTTTTTCTGTTACTTTTTAATATGACAGTCCAATAGTGTTTCTCATTACATAAGTAATAACTGTTCATCGTAGAAAATTTATAATATCCAAAAAAGCACAACAAAGAAAATTGGTTAATAATAATTCCAACCTCAGTTTTCCAATGATAGATACCCTCCTAGGTTTCTCTTAAAACAAATCTTTGTATAGCATGTTTGTGTTATTTGCGGTGGTTTTTAGTAACATTAGACTTGTCCATTGTGTCTGTAACCTAATTTTTCCAACAGTACCCCATAAACTTTACGTAGAAGATTTATTCTTAAGAAAAATAAGTTTTAACAGTTGTATCATTTTCCCTGATTCAACAGTATTTCCCTTATTGTCTAAATTGTTGATTTTGTAGCACTTTTAAAACCCAGTCAATGTGCTATCAGTTGTTTACTATAAAGAATTTCAGATCTATAAGATTTTTAATTCCCCTTACCTTCCTATGTCTTATTCTTAACTCATGTCCTCTAAAGTAGTCTCTCAATTGTAAAGAAAACTCCAGAGCATGTATATGAAGCACTTAGCAGATGTTGGATAAGTAGTAGCCTTCTTACAACTCTCATTTTACTACTTTAATTATTGTATTAAAGTTTTAGCACTTTGATCCCAAAAGCTCTCTGGCAGTTAGAGCTTTGCTCAAATGGGAAGAACTAAAGGAAAATGAAAAGAGCAATAGGAGAAAACATCAGGTTTGGCTCCTTCCTAAAGCAAGGTCACCACCACTTTCTGTATACCTCAAAGCCTCAGGAGGCTTCATAAGCTTACTCCTATCTACACAAGAAAAGTTTATTAAGTGTCATTGCAATTGGAGTTACTGGAGTTTTCTAGTAAAACGTTTTCAAATATTCTTTTAAGTATCCTTATGATTAGATTATGAGTACTGCAAGCTTAGGTAAAATTTTCACTCTCTCCCTCTCTGCCTGTCCCTCTTCCTCTCTCTATGTCTATGTTAGTAAGTGGCCAGTTAACTAGATTTTAAACCTTACCTTTGTTAACATCAATGATGCCTAATCCTGAAATATTTAACCCCAAATGTATATATATAGCATATGTTTAACTACCGTGGTGACTGAAAATAGTTCACCATCAATATATAATAACTTTCTTCAACTTTTGATGTTCCTAGAGAAAGAGTTCTTCTTTAACAGTGTTCATAACAAGACTATAATTCATACTGCCAGGAAGCAGATTTAATTTCATTAGCAAAAAGACCAATAAAAATGATTGTAACTGTGTGTGCCATCAGTGGTACAAGCCACCCAATGTGATAGTCATGCATATAGCATCAGTGATTCAAACCGGTGGGACATGCTCATTTACCCACATTTTAATGTCCATGATTCTTGGCAGTTCTAATGGTCTCGCAGGAAAGGAGGAATTCTCCCATTGGATTGGAGCCTCATATGCAGCAAAGAAAAGCATAAATTTGTTCTCACATGAGGAAGGAGGGAAGAAAGAAACTGAAAGAGGGAAAGAACAAAACAGAGAAAAGGAAAAAAGAGAAAAGGAGAGAAATTTAAAACCAATGCTCATGGCTCGCCTAGAAAACCATTTCCAAAAGTGTGTTTTGCACATTGGTTTATACGTTAGTATAATGATGGCAAACTTTTTAGAGCTTTCAATGATACAAACATCTCACTGTGGTAGGCATGCCATATGTTAACCACCAGTGCTTTAGTATATACCCATTTAGGTCAGGGGTTGGCAAACCACTTCTGAAAAAAAAAATAGTACACATTTGAAACTTTGAAAGCCAGCAGTCTCTGTCCCGACTATTCAGCTTTGCCACTGTAGTATAAAAGCAACCATAGAAGACAAAATATAAACAAATACTCCTGACATTATTCTAATAAAATTTGACGACAGCAGGCCATTTTTAGCTAGTTTTCCACCTCTGGTTTAGGTCTTCCACAACAAGTATGGCCATGCCTTGCTAAGGTCATTGTGTTTTTATCATAGTGAACCTTTGGCTGTAGTCTAACATTCTCCTTATGTAAGACATAATAGATTAGTGACATCTAGTAGAACTTTCTCTGATGATAGCATTTGGTATCTGTACTGTCCAGTACAGTAGCCATTAGGCCCATGTGACCATTCAGCCATTGAAATGTGGCTAGTGAGACTGTCATTTAAATAACCATTTGTAGTTTTCCATTTTTTATTCTTTTTTCTTCCCTCTCCTCAAGCTGAAACTACATTAAGTTGTGTTAATCTTGGGTCATTCCATGTCTTTCTCTTGTATTGACCCAGAAAGAATGAAATATATTTCAAAACACTGAAATATTTACCAAACCAAACAACTGATTTGGCTGCTGTGGTCTGATGTGCACAAACAAACAGTTTGTAGAATTTGGTTCTGCCAAGCTGCTGGGGCTGGAAATGCGGGCGTGAGACACACACTCAAAAATCTGCAGCTTTTAAGAAGAGTTTGAGTTTGGATTAGGTCCATTAAGAATATAAGCTTATTGGTTCAATGTTTTAAACTTTTTGTGACATGCAATTTTGCAGATACAACAAGACCTCCAAAGAAAGATGAAGAAAATGGAAAAAATTATTACTTTGTATCTCATGACCAAATGATGCAAGACATCTCAAATAATGAGTACTTGGAGTACGGCAGCCATGAGGACGCAATGTATGGGACAAAACTGGAGACCATTCGGAAGATCCACGAGCAGGGGCTGATTGCAATCCTGGATGTGGAGCCTCAGGTACTGCCCCACCACCTCAAACCCCTTCCATGCTTCCGTGCTACCTGTATGCTGATAGCTCAGATTGTGAAATCAAAAGTACTATAAGAAAGTCATGGACTGTATAGTAATTCCATAAGCTATGGCAGAGTATCAATAGTCAAGACTCTATTGGTTTATAAACAGTCTGGAATGCAAACTGACTAATCGCTGGACTCAGTGCACACAACATGTATTTTAAAAGCAGATTATTCTCTTATGAGGTATATTATACTCAGAAGCTCTCTAAAGTATCTGATTGGGTCTATGCCTGCCAGAAATCCTATAATCATCTGACCTCAAGATGAGACTCTGGCACTTTTTTATCAAAACAGTCACTCATGCTATTGCATCAGAGCATCTGCCAGCATAAAATCACCAGCAAGAAACTGAGACACTTTACTAGCTTTTTAGAAGGTAGGTGTAAATGAACCCAAATGTCAGATGAAACAGGGATGGAGAGACAGGTGACTCTCAACCTGTGCCATTTCCATACCTAAGGATGTTCCCTGACCTCAAGATAAAACTAGGAAAGATATGGGAAACTTGGAGAAAACTCAGAGGGATTCAGAGATGATTAAGTGATTTGTAAGTAAGTGTTATGAGAGAAACAATAGGAGTTAATAAAATTTGAAAAATAGAAAACTGAAGATTTGACAGCAAAGGAACACAGGTGTAACTCAGGGGTTAATAAGGGGCTTAGCATGCACAAAGCCCTGGGTTCCATCTGCAGTACTGCAAAAAACGGGGCAAGGGGAATGCTAACAAGGTATTTTTTCTTGTCTGAGCACTTAGAGCCCAGTAGGAAAGACTTGGGAAATGTAAACATCTGAGGTTACAGGAGATGTTGTAAGCACCTTTGAGATTCCCGAGTTTGATATTTCTAAGACTGATCTGTCCCCTAAATCTCTTATTACTTAGAATAAAATCAGTACACCATCTGTCCCCTCAAGCAAGCTATTTAATCAGAGGCTTACCTGGCCATCTCAAGCAAGGCAAATCCCTGTTCAAGGGAAACCATATGAGACTCGGTCCCCTACTCATCCCAAAGCAAACACAGAGCCTGCATAACCAGGTTCATATGATCTGGGGCCTGAAACCTTAGTTTCTGAGCTCCAAGATCCTAACTCATGGGCAGCACATTCATCTCTTTCCATTTTACAGCACCCAATAAGGTCTTGAACTTGGAGCATTGGAAACCACACAAGGATCTGGTTCAGGGGCTAGAGAGGGTAAACACTATAGGGTACTTTACCTAGCAGTTAACTTAAACCTATATAGAACTAAATATGATGATGTGTAATGCAGATTGATTTTTGTTTAACTACTAATCCCTCCTTACTAGGGATTGGAAAAATCTTCTGGCCAGGGGTGGCTAGAGGCAAGGTCTCAATCCTGGTCCTGGTCTTCGACATCCTCTCCTTGGGTTCCACACTGGTCTTCACCTGAACGTCGTTTTCTGCTGGTAGTAATGTCTCTAGCAGTATGCTGGCTGCAGGGCTCCAAAGACCCCTCTGCATTACCTAAGTCCACTCTCAAGGGCTTTCTGCCTTACCCGCTGCTGCTGCTGCTGTCACCAGTACTGCTGCCACCACCACCACCAACGCTGCTGCTGCTGCTACCGCTCCACTCATAAGAGTCCAGCTCTCCCTGTCCCTTTACCCTTGCATAGCCATGCATTGCTCTGCATTGCTGAGTGGGAGACCCTTCTCTCAGGCTCATCAGGACAGCCACAGCAGTTCCTTTCACCATTGCACTTGGCCCCAGACTACCTCCTCACCCCAGCTGGCCACACTGTCTCTGCTCCCCTAATGGCTGGATGAGCTCACCTGCACTCTTCTCCCCTGCTTCCTGTGTCCTCACCTCTCAGAACTGTGATCTCAAGTCCACTGACTCCTGAGGACAGGCCATAGGCATCCTGGTCTCCACCTGACCCCCTTTGGGCCAGTAGTCCTGGGAACCAGGATGGCACAAGACCTGCTCCTCTGGCTGGGCTGGTCCCAGGCTGTCTTGCCCAGTCCAGACTCATACCCAGCCCTGGTCACACACTGACCATTGTGTACAATAGTACAGTCAGGATGCCCACAGAGTCTGCACCAAGGAGCTTCACCCTTGGGCCTCTATCCTCAGCCCACTCTGTTTAGGGCTCACACAAGTCCTGCTTTCAGGATGCTCATGGTCATGCATGACAGCGTGACTTCCTGTCAGACAGAACCTTATTATTCCAGGGAGGCTCTGTCTAGGACATTTTTCCCCATACCCTTTCCTGCCCCAGCTCATTAGGTTAGCTACTCTACCATGCCTCACAGATTGATTCAACAAACTTGTAATAAGCATTTATATCCCAAGCACTGTGCCAAGAGCTGCAAATGCCATGAAGCTGTGAGGTGAAATTCCTTCCTCCCTGTTTATCAGAAACAGCTCATAATAAGGAAAGCATCTGTGGCGTTATTTTAAATCCTCTCACCTCTACCACAGCTGGGGCCATTTGCACACATGTAGACCATAGAAAGACCACCTGATGCTGGTGTTCAGTTCACCTAGTGCATGTCTGTTACTTAGAGTCATCTTAACTTACTGTAGACACTTAAAGCCAAATCTCTAATGATGCTAATAAGATGTCGTTCAACTTTAAACCTAGAGGGCCCTGTTAAAGACAGTAAGCTAGAACAACTTAGTATGATTAGTAACTTAGCTTCTTCTAAAATAATAATAGAATGTAGTGCTTTATGTTTTACCAAGCACTACTACTACCTAAACTTTGTAACCCTAATGAGATAGATAGAAATCAGTATCTACTTCCATAGTTGAAGAAACCAAGGATTAACTTAATTGTGACTTGGCCAGAACTTTACAGCCAATTAAAAGTGAGTTTGTACTTCAACTGTGTTATAATAATAAGGCCCAGTCTTCTTTCACTATACCATTGTACAGTGGGCATCTTTGGAACATCCTCAATATGGTCCACCCTGTATGTAGTAGTACAGTTTAAATCTCAATTTCTAAAAATGTTTATAAAAGTATATGAGGCAATGACACTAAGCAAAACTGTAGAACAGTGATGGTGAGCTTACAGCATATGTGCCCCAGTAGGCATACAGACCCTGTCAGCATGCAAGCAAGTTGCCCCAGCAGCCAAGCATCAGAGAACAGGTTTATTTTTCCTAAACTAAAACCTCAGTATTCAGGTTTAATTGCAGTGTTGGCACTTTGCAATAAGTAAGTGGGTTTTGGATTACAGTTTGGACACTCTGTCTCTTAAAGGTTTGCCATGACTACCATATGACCTATTTCTAATGGAAATGAAGTTATGGCTTAGAAGTTAATCTGTGCCATTAAAGCTGAAACTGTAGTGGCTCCAGCATATAATCAGGGCTTAATGTAAGAGTTGTATATGTAATCCATTGGTACTGTTAAAAAAAAGTTTACAGTAGCAGAATAGGAGTAGTTTTGGTTTTGCCCACAAAGGGAAAGGTCATCATTAAGAGGTAGCTTCCAGCCTTGTTGGAATCTCATAGTACTTCAAAACAAGAGCCTGGAGGGAGAGCTGTGGTAGAGCGCTTGCCTAGCATGCAGGAGGCCCTGGAGTCTGTCTCCAGCACTGCGGGGAGAAAAGCCAGGTTGTAAGCCAGAGGCCATTTTGTTAAGTTTGTTTGCTTTCTGGAGTTACTGTACTCATCCTTAAACCATTAGATTTTTTGTACAGAATGACTCAGCTGCCTACCCTTGTGTACTTTTTAACTTCGCAAACTAGGTTAGTCTTATCTGCATTATTCTTGGGTAAAATGAGTTTTTAATTCCTTGAAGATGCTAACTGAAATTAATTCTTAGACATACATAGATGAGCCAGAAAATCAATTTATCTCTACAAAAGAAAACTAAAAAGTTAACTGTTAAATTAATGTTACTTTGTTTCAATCTTGCATGTTTTCAGTGATCTTTGTAGAGTGTGAGTGTGCATATATGTGCTCGCTTGTGCTCTCTCTTCCACACTTTTGTCTCTTTCTCTGTCTCTCTGCCTCTGTTTCTCTGAACTTCTCTGAGGTTCAGAAAGAGAGGTTTGCCTGCGACTGTTAACACATTTGTGTCTCATCTTGAGGAAGAGGGCTCAGAGTTCATCTTTAAGTGAGCTGTTAACTGCCTGAGAGAGAGGAATTCTGTGAGCAGTTCCACTTCTGTCCCTGAAATGACTCTGAACCTCAGCCAAGCTGAAAGTGCACCCAAAATGGCACCCATTTGAAAGCCATGAGGAAAGCAGAGTGTGGGGACAGAGGCTTTCAGGACCAAATGAGGAAATGTGTGGTGACTGCTGAAGATGTGAGGCCTATTGGACATGAAATTCTGTCAGAATTTGAGGCATCTTAGAATTTTGGACAATATAATAATGCAGGATAGGAACAGAAAATCAAAGCCATGAGAAGGAGGATGAAGTAACTATGCTAACAATGGGAGCTACTCTAGTTACTATAATAAAGTTAAATGTGTCTCTGAACTTCCCAGCAACCAAGGGCAAAGGCAGGGCAGAATAATGTCCTATAACAGATTCTTAGCCACAAGAGGCATTTGGCAATGTGACAAACATGGCCTTGGTTGGTTGTTTCTATAGTAAATGCAGGTGACCCTCACGTGGTATGGGTGCAGACTGAGTATACATGCCAGTGCTGGCGTTATAACGTCCTAGAGGGCTGCAACAGAAAGCATTCAAAAGATTGTGTAGCTGGCAGGTTGGTCACGAACAGAGAAAACATTTCACAGCTAGGTTGTCATTCTCTACTTTATCATCTCTGAGTTCTGTTCAGCATGGAAGCTGTGGAGACATCCATCTGGCACTCAGAAAGATGCTTTAGGAACATGCAAGTAGGATTTTCCCCCATTTCAGTTGCCCAAAGGCTGGCTGTGGGCAGGTATGTGTGCGTGTATGGGGGTGAAAGGATGAGAAAGTTTTATATCCCAAATGACCTTGTAGCTGTCTGATGCTTGAGCACACAAAGTAAGGAAAAGAGACTCAAGAAAATTTTGACAAAAAGGATTTTTGTTTAGCCCTGTTGAGTTATATATGGGTTTTTTCATGATGTCTGTCTCTCGCTAAAGTCATTAGTCATGAAAGGATTGGCAAAGAAATTGCCAGTTACCTGTTTCAAAAGTAGATGTGTGCAAGCTTAAAGAGCTTTCTTACAAGGGACTCAGAGCCTATGACTTTAATAATTAAAGAACTTTAATGGATCCACCATACTGGCCTGTAATCCCAGTGCTCTGAGAAGCTGAGGTGGGAAGATTACAAGTTCAAACCCAGCCTGAGCCATTTAAGAACTTAACAAGACACTGTCTCAAAATGTTTTAAAAAAATTCTAAGTGGCAGGGATGTAGTTCAGTGCCAAGGCCCTGAGTTCAATCCTTAGACCCTCAGAGAGAGAGAGAGAGAGAGAGAGAGAGAGAGAATTTTGATGGACAGATAAGACAGTAGACAAGGATCCCTTAATATCTGCCAGAAGATACTTTAGAACCAAAATTCAGAAATAGAATCCTAGTTAAAGTACAGCTTACACTCAAAACTCCAAACCTTTAGCATCAAATTTGTCCCTTACATATCTGTGTACTTAGGAATGGGGACTTCAAGAGTTCACGAAAGGGCCTTGGGGCTCCCAAAGAACTTTCCAGAGAAAAGAATATTAGGACTGACTTCTGCAGGATTACTCAGCCAAGAAAAAAGAATAGGGAAAGGGAGGCCCAGGCAAAGAGAGAGGCAAGTAAAAAGGCCAGGAAGCCAAGAAGAACCCAGCCCTTTCCAGAACTAGAAATAGTTCAGTGAGACTAGTCCCTGAGGAGGACAAACAGAAGGACTCTGAAGAAGTTAAGCATGGCCCAGCTTATGAGGAAGAGACCTGACCTTCATGCCCAGGAGCCTACATTTATGTCAAGATCAACAGCGCCCTTTGAAGGGTTTCGAGCAAGGCAGTGATGGGATTTGCATTTCTGAAAGATCATTCCAATAGCAGGGTGGAGTGTAGATTGGAAAGCAGCAAAACTGGAGGCAAGGAACCAGTCCAATCATTATTACCATAAGCCAACTAGAAGCCAAAACAATAGGAATAGGAGAAAAGAAACAAATTTAAAGACCATTACAAAGCAAAATACATCAGTAACAAAATACTTGTATAAAGTTCTTATTTAAAAACAACAAAGTGTTTACCCCACACACATGTCAGTCACTTGTGGATTGGGTACCTAGATGTGTTAGGCTATGTCCTTGAAGGGTCATGTATAAACTCCACAACTGCTGTGTCCTCCCAGGGGACAAGCTGAAGCAGTAATCGCCTAGCAGAATCTACTGGACCTCCTGGGGTTACAGCTCCGAAGCATCTCTATGCAAAGAACTTACATAGTTAGAACTTTGCTGTGCCTTGGGAGGGAACTGAAAGGAGCCCTAGAAGTCCTCTCTTCAGTGCCACATTTTGTCATGGGCCAGTGCATTGCCCCTAGCTACACAGTCTCTTTCATGACAGGACTGAGCTAAGGGCTGTGGGCCTCGGCTCTAGCCCTGGGCAAAGTCCCCTTCCCCACAAGCCCCATAGGGCCCTTTCTTCGTGGTAACTCAGAAGGCCTGTATACATCTGAGCAGCGCACCCTGCACACTTATAGTAGCCAGGAATCACTATCCTGGATCTACACTTTCAGTATGAAATGTGACAAAGTAGGTTCTGAACCAGTGTGAAGCCAGCCTGCAGGTCCAAGTCTCCCTCCAAAATGCTTTTCCCATCAGGTAAAATTCATGCTCCAGCTAATAATAGGTTCAAGTGAACATTAACCTATCTGGTCAGTGCTGACTTATGAAGAAAAATGAATCTGAATGATTCATGAGATTCATAAGAAAATTGTCCAGCTTGTCAACATTTATCTTCTGAAAACTGTTGTCTATCCTTTAGAAGAAAAGAAGTGATATATGTTCTTTATAGAATTGGTACATTTCATAATACCTTGCCAAAAATTTGAACCTTGGCTTGAATTTTTCAATTGTCTAAATTTCTGTAGACACATTTGAAAGTCATGTTAGTTATTTCTTAAGTCTCTTTCTTTTCTCTCTGTCTCTTTTTTACACAGGCACTGAAGGTCCTGAGAACTGCAGAGTTTGCGCCTTTTGTTGTTTTTATTGCTGCACCAACCATCACTCCAGGTTTAAATGAGGTAAGGATAAATTCATCTTTCCCCCAACTCAGCACACCCAAAATAGGGATGCATGTGTGTTGCATACGCAACACCAAAGCCCCATCTCATCAAGTCAGCTAAGCAAACCTTTTCTTTGTCTTTGATACTGAGCAGTCATATTTCCAGAGCTTGAGCTTCTAAAGTCCAAGGATAAATAACTTGAACCACCCATCCCCAGTACAGAGCTTTTGTGAGTCTCTCACCTTCTAGAGCTGCCAGCCCACTCCCTCTCCTGATCAGACTGTTCAAAGACCATAACAGCCCTGGGACTAGTTCTGCATCAAGAATTGCTTGGCTTAAAGAGAGCCATAGGGAATCCATGACCTTAACCAGGCTTCCCACGTTCCCCCTTCTGTTTAGGCCCTGGAGATCACCAAACTTAAAAATGAGCTCTGTGTGGCTAGCAGTGTGGCTTAGTGGTAGAGCACTTGCCTGTCATACATAAGACCCTGGGTTCCATCCACAGTACTAAAAGCATATAAAAACTGAACTCTGCCCCCTTCCAAGCCAACTCAAGTCAGCTTCCATAGAGATGGTGCCTAAGAGTGTTGGCTGAGCCATCTCTTCTGATGCCCATTCAGAAAGTTTGCAGATGCTGGGCAGATAAAGAGTAGTGTCACATGTGTACTAAGTGTAACAGTGCCTACTTGCTGTCCCTTCCATGGTTAAGGAAGTTATCCTGAAAAACTACTGGCCTAAACCAAACCAAGCTTATAGTACAGGTAAATAAAGAGTTAGGAATTTTTACTTTGTGTCCCTTTACGGAAGGTCATATTTAGATTTACCTATATATTACTCATATTTTCTGTCATCATTTTTTGTCATTTGATTTGTAAAAGTCATATTCCTTTGTGAAATTCCACTTTCCCATCTTATTTAATATACAAGCATGTTTGAAATGCCGCATTATAGTTAGCTTTTATCCATTGATTACCATGTATTTTTCTTGAATTATCATCTTTGCTTTGTTTTTGTTTTCATTTTGCCTGTTTCCCTGCCCTTTTACTAATTTTCCATAGCTGCCAAAATGGTGCAGAAAATTGCCTGTAAGTACCAGCTAGGAGGAGATGAAACACAGCCTTGTTTCTTTTTATAGATGTAGAATGTAGACACCTTGTTCCCATAAACCCTTGCTTTTGCTGTTAGAATAAAGGCATTTTGTTTTCACTGAGTTAAACCCTGCTCATGTGTAAATCGAGCATGCAGACAAGACATTGTCAAGGAAAAAACTGACAAACAGCTTTGGCTTAAAAGATCCAGACAAGGGAGCTTCGTTTTCCTGCAAAGAGCACTGCATCAAAAATTTGATGCTTTCAGCCATAAATTTTCTTGAATACTTTCATCAGCCCAGCTTTCTGAGCAGATCATAAACTCTGCCAGTAGGTTTTGCAGCCCAGGACTGTATAATCAAACAGGCTTTCCCAGCCCAGAGAGTGACATCGTAGGAACTGTTCCTTCTCATACTGGTAGCAAGCACACCCGTACTTGGGTAAGTGCGTGCTTCCTAAAATGAGATTCTTGCATTGCACTCATTATAAAGTAGAGCCACAGTGAAAATGCTATGCTTTTTAAATGTGAGCAGAATGTGTGTTGGTTGGGCATGGTGGTGTGAGGCTGAGACAGAAGGATTACAAGTTCAAGGTCAGCCTAGGCAACTAAGCAAGAACGTGTCTCAATAAAAATTTTTAAAGGGGGGCTGGGGATTTAGCTCAGCGGCATAAGCGCCTGCCTTGCAAGCAGGCAGTCGTGAGTTCAATCCCTGGTACCGATAAAAAGGAAAAAGACAAAAAAAAAAAAAAATCAAGAGGCCCAAGGCTAAGAATCTTGTTATCATTGACAGAAATTTTTAGGGGCTGGGGATTTAGCTCAGCGGCATAAGCGCCTGCCTTGGAAGCAGGCAGTTGTGAGTTCGATCCCTGGTACCGATAAAAAGACAAAAAACAAAAACAAAGAAAAAAAATTTTTAAAGGGCTGGAGATATGGCTCATCACAAGAGCACTTACCTAGCATGTGCAAGGCCCTGGGTTCTATCCCCATCATGAGAGGGGAAAGATGGGGGAGAAGAGAGAGAATGTGAGTGAGAAAGACCCAATATGAGAGAGATCCAACATGAAAGAGAAAAAGTAAAGAAAACAGAAAGAATGAATATGTATTGGTAAGACCTTAGGAGGTGGTTAGTGACGGAGGCCTTATCAGCACTGTCATGGGTTACTGTGAGTTTCAGTGTATGTTGTGTCAGGGCTGCTTACTTCTCCCATGTCTGCTTATCCCCTCCCCTCTGCAGGGCTGGGAGAGAATCAAGCTGGTGTCTAGTCTCTATCTCAATTCTGCTGCCCTCTCCAGAGCAGCCCAACCAAGCCAAGGTTGGCCTGACCCTCTCAGGGGCCTCATTGCGAAGAAGAGTTTCTTGCAAATAACAGGGACCTCAGAGAAGAGGAGGAGGGGCCCTAAGTCAGCAAAGGATAGCTAGTGCTCCTAGGTCCCTGAATTGTATTTTCTGTAGAGATCTGTCTCTGTCATGCCTAGGAGAATCACTTGGTCCCTAAATTATAGATTTAAAAATTTTAAAATCTAAGTGCTTGTTAATAATTCTAAAAGCCAACTTTTTGTTCTTTCCACAACATTTATTAAGCTCTTGCTGTGTTCCAGGTTCCCTGCTTAGAGCTGATGCACAGTAATGATAGGCCACACAAGACAAGTTTGAGAGAGGGATGCTAATCAAATATACAGATATTAAATTGCATTTAACTGATATTTAAGATTCAGGCCAGTAGTTCACCTACCTGGCATTTGGAAGGTGCAAGGGGTTCAGGTTAATTTGAATCACAAAGTTCCCTAGTTTAAAATTAGGACTTAGTCTTTGGAAGTTTAGCATAACAAATTTAACCCATAAAGAGGCAGAGGCAGACTTCTTTCCAGCAGCCCTTAAGAGATCTTTTTTTGTGAGTTTGTTTTGTTTTGTTTGAACCAGGGATCAAACTCACAACCTTACACTTGCCAGGCAGGCACTTGTGCTGCTGAGCTAAATCCCTGGCCCAAGAGATCCCACTCTTGAAAGAACTGTTTTTGTTTTGTTTAATGGGGATTGGTTTTCTGTTTTTGTGTTTTTGAGACAGAGTCTCACCCTGTAATCCACACTGCCCTCGAACTCCTGCCTCAGCCTCCCAAGTGCTGGGATTAAAGGCATCATACCTTTGAGCATTAAGACTTGCTAGTGAAAAATAATATTTACACAACAAACTTAGGACGCCTAATTCCATCTCACTGTTGGTTCATCTGGGTGAGAGTTCTCATAATCTGTAGCAAGCTGGAGTGTAAGGAACATCGTTTGCCATAGCAGGCCTCCCTGGAGTTCAGTAGCTTCCCTTCCTTCAGAGTTGTTTTCATAAGAGATATGAGTACTTGGGGACAGTGATATTTATCTAGCCCTGTCTAATGCAGACCAGTCTGGAGGGACTCATCAGATACCTGTTGCTATTATATTTGGAAAAAGACCTGATCCAGCCATTATTTGATATCCAAAAAGCTTTGACTGTAGCCTCTACTGCCATGAATTCCTAGAACATGCTGAACCTTTAAGTAGAAAAGGCGAAAGTACAAATTAATTTGTTGTGCAAAGGCAGAGGCTAATTGAATAGGTACAAATGCAGCTGGGCCCTGAATGAACTTTGATGACCAAAGAATGGTCATCTAAGAGTTCGGTCCTCAACATCACAGCCTCCCAGGAAGTAAATGGGTGACCCCTGCAGGCCTGGACCAGAGGAACGAGGAAGAACACCTCGTATGGCCTGACTCCACTGACTCGGGCCAGGCACAGCTAGGTCCTCTAGGGACGATGTGTTTGCTGAAGTGTCTGCTTTGTCTGGTGTGTCTTGGAGCCCCTGTTGCATGTCACAGTTGCCAGCAGGAGTTGTATAACCCTGCCATCACTGGGACCATCATCTTCTCTGTCATGGAGCCATCTTGGCCTTGTGCCCAGGTGTGGCACATCAAGCAAGGTTTGGCCCTGACGGTTTCTGATACTGGGACAAAAGGTGGGGAGAGAAGGAAGAGTGCCTCTGACTCCCGTCTCCTGTGTGCTTTCCCTCCCCCACCCTGCCCATCTACGGCCTCCCCATGTAGGACGAATCTCTCCAGCGCCTGCAGAAGGAGTCTGATATCTTACAGAGAACATATGCACACTACTTCGATCTCACAATTATCAACAATGAAATCGACGAGACAATCAGACATCTGGAGGAAGCCGTGGAGCTTGTGTGCACAGCCCCGCAGTGGGTCCCGGTTTCCTGGGTCTATTAAGCGTCTCCCCAGATCCCTGAGCAGAACTGGGAGCCACCTCATCCATGGAAACGCCTCTTTGTTACCGGCCTTGTGTCAGCAGGTCATGGTCCCTAGAGACTACCTAGTTGTAGTGTGACCTACATTTATAATTATTGTCATGTCCGAATAGATAGGAGGAGAAAAACAATTACACACTAATTTAAAGAGACAGTATCTTTTTTAATCAGTTCTCCTAAACTTTAATAAAATGTATCTTTAAATGTATGTATTATTCAATCCTTTGGAATGTTATATTTTTGGAAATCATAGCTTTTTATTTCCAAGGCCCCTAAAAACTGCACAAAATAGATGCTGCTTTCTATAATCTATTTTAATAATAATAAACAATGATTATGTTACCTTGACTGGGGGTGGAACACTACATTCTTTTTAGAGTCTGATTTTATGGATTGGAATATCTTTCTTTCCTCTATTTATTTGAAATAATTAGTGATAACTAGTGATTACAAAACAGTCATAAATTTTTAAAGGCCTTTTTTCTCTCTCTTTTTTTTAGAATAGCATTTTTTTAAGTCCTTTATGTAACATCCAGATAATGTGATACTGTCTCTTTGAAGCACCCTGTAAACCTTTTAGACATTTGAAGTTGGGTCTTGACTCTTAATGCATGTGGACAGTCGCGAGCGTTTATGCTGTCGGTGTGTCTGTGTTGGACAAAACAATCTGTAATCTACAGCAAAGTACATTCCGTTCACGGGGCACACCAGGGGAATAAGAATAAAATGCTATTATGACTAAGTTGTAAACCTATGCACATCCCTTGCATTTCGGGCAACTTTATAAAAAAAAAGAAAAAGAAACTGATTTTTATTAATAATAATCATGTAGTGAAATGTGTTTGTAATTTTGTCTCAATTTAATTTGTTGTAAGGTGGGAGGGGGAATTGCTGGTTTCACCATTTCAGATCTGTGTTGTCTAAGAGTATTAATGTTTTAATTAAGCAAAGAAATGAGGATTTTTAATCTGTATGTAATTGTTTTAAAGCACCCATTTTAAGAGAAAATACTGTGCAATGAAGAAAACCAGTTTAGGCATTTGCTTTAAACTGAATTATTCCAAAAGAATAATCTATAACAGCCCTGTAAATTCCTTTAAAATGATGAACTAACAGGACAGTCTGACCAATTTTTTTAAATATACTTCCTTTTATGTGCTCAATAATCAAATGCCTTTGGGTCCTTCATTTCATTATAGATTTGTTCAGGTTTCTAAGCCACTAATCTTTTGGATTTTATAATTTGTTAGATGCTCATTGACCCTTCAAAGGCCTAGGAATGAGCGTCAGCAGGCAGGATGACAAAGTAGCCTGTCTGGGCACAGCTGTGACCATGCTGACTCGCAGGGTCACCTGTGGTCTCTCCTTCCTCTTGCTGTAGCCATTGGCACAGGGGATCATCTGTCTTTATTGCTTAAGAGACATTCACCATCTCATCACCCTGCCATGAGGTCCCATTCTTCCAGTGCAGGAGAGTCGGGCTGGGGGTCCCCAGCCTCTTTGCCAAGAGGTCAGTAGAATGTTTTTTCTTGACATGTGAGGGTGCAAAGTGCTGCCAGTAACCTGCGATCCTTGAAACACACCATTGTTTTTGCTTCTTGTAGGTTAGAGGCCTCTGTCACTTTGTGCCTTGGCAGGATGCACAGGGTACGTTTGGAGCTAACAGCTCCTCTTAAGGGACCAAGCAGAGAAGGCAATTTTATATACTCCTCTGACACTGTCAACACCTTAGCCCTGATGTGCCACAACTAAATATTGCCGATGTTTTATTTTCTGATATCGTTCCTGTCAGTGGCAGTCTTCAGTTTACTGACGAGACGGTGAGTGAGCTATTTGTGTTCAGCCCCACAGTAGGGTAACCAAGCACACCAGAGGCAAGCCTAGCTGTGGCCTCACCCTCGATGGAGAAACATGTTCAAAGAGTTGTTTAGGGCTGTGTCAGGACTGACTTCAACCTAACTGATACCAAGGCCAGCCAGTCCTTCCTGCAGCGGTACTGACCACAATCCTGGCTCTTCTCACTGTCACAGCGCCCACACTACCTCTTTTCCAGTGAAGCACAAAAAAGAACACAACTGACATGCGGGAAGCAGAGACGCCCTCCCTATGTCAGAAACCCTCACACCCCCACTTGCTTTCTGTAGACTCAAAGAAGCACACAGGCAGGACTTGTTCTTGCCAGTGTGTGAATGACAAAATTCCTGCACCTAGAACACAGTGACTTCTCAAACAGGTCACCTGTTCTAACCCACTAATATACATCCTTCTAAAGCAGTGTCTCTGTGACCCAGCAGAGAATACTTGCAGATCTGAATTCAGAGTAATTTCAGTGCATTGCTGCTGTATTACAATTGTCCACTAAGCAATCAGAGAAAATTACTAAAAGCTTCTTTGCTGCCTCCATTCCATCAGCAGAAACATTTTTTTCTTTTTAAAGACCAGAGCAAATGATTAGACTACTAAATCTTATCAGTGGTCAATTGAAGCACTTCCCAAAATTATATTCTGAAGGTGATTTCACCCTCAGCCCACTCCCTACAGCAGGACAAGGTATATTTTGATGTGTTGAGTTCGTTGAAAAGATGAAATGTCCTGATTTTCTAATCATAAGACAGTAATTACTTTGCACAGGTAGCATATTTAACACTGAAAAGGAAAATCTCACTCATTTTAATTCATCTAGAAATTTCCCATTGTCAAGATAACATTGTAGCTTTTTTAGATGCAATTAAATGTATCTCCTGTAAGGTGAGATGGTTTAAATATCTACTCAAAGAGGAAAAGAAATGGTTGACCTGCTTCTTGCTATTTGCATTTAGCAGCCATCCTCCTGGCGCATCCTATTGGTGGCAGAATAGCTAAAGATGTGCAGAGTTCCTCATCGCATGGAGAAATGTAGTAAGTGTCCCTGTCCCAGTGTCCATTTCCTGCTGCCAGAGCCTGGCCAATTAGGCCAAGCCTTCCTTTGAAGCTACTGTTATCTTTGCAAGCCTTTAATCTCTGTGACCCTTTGTTTTTAAATTGCTTATAGTTATGTCTTTTTTAAGGCTTTGAGTTCATTCCTTACAAAAGTTTAGTCAATCAAGCCATCCTTCAGGAAAATGGACAAAGGAGAGACCCAAAGTGCAAACTGCCCCTGAAAGACAAAGCAGGCGGAAGCACATTTCAGATCAGTTTCTTAACTTGAGGCAAAGTTAAGCTTTGCTTGCCACTAAAGCTACCAAGAGAATGGATGGATTAGTAAACTTTTAATAAAAATGTCTCTTTGGAAAAAGGAGAAAGTGCATAGCACTCAGCATTACAAAAACAAGCCCCTTACAACCCTCATCTCTATCATCAAACTGGTGTGTATTTTGTGTTTCTCACTTTTTCGGAACTGAGCACAGCCTCCTCGGGCCATCCTCCTTACAAGGGCTTACAATCCTGAGGCTCCCTGTGGCTGCCAGAGGAGAGAGGCCCCTGAGCGCATCCCTCTTGTTCTGCGCTTCTAATTCTTCTCTTAGAGATCTTGCTTCTTCTCCCTGCGGCTTAAGGAAGGGCTACACGCTGTGATCTCCACACATTTCATTTGATACAGCTTTCTCTTTCCTGACCCTTTGGAAGACAAGGTTTCCTCTGTTCAGTATCTCCAGTTGCAGGACCAGACTGAGGCTTATTACATGACTGGCTGTGCCCCAGCACTCACGTCCATTCCCCTAAACCCGGAGATACAAGTCTCAGACGGCCCAGCCTAGGGAGTGAACTTTAGCCTAGCTGTCCCATCCAACCGGGAAGCAAGGAAAGGCAAGAAGAATCTGTTTCCTACTATTTTCCCATCTGATCTTTTCCCTGGCGCCCTTGGCTGCAATAGGTGGGCACACAGGGACCCCAGAAATAGCAGTGGGAAGAGGGCACGATCATCTTTTAAGCAGGCACTCCCCAGTCTTACTTAGCTCTTCCTGGGGAGAGAAAGTGCTGTGTTTCCACCACCTCTCACCTGATCCTCCATCAACTCCCCTGAACCTGTGCAAATGGACTGAGCAACAGAAAACGGAAAGAGCAGTTTGCAACCGCACAGGAGTCCCGGTTTCTGGCCCCAAGCACGACTCCATCGCTACGTATGTACGGAAACTTGGAACTTGGTTACCACTTAGTTCCATTCTCCCTGGAACGTGACCATGGGGACAAGCCAATGTTCTTACTGATGGAGGCCTGGGGTGACTCTCCCTGGGCCCAGGGGAAGTATGATCTATCAAAGAAGTTGTGCTTGGGAGTAGAAACAGGTGTTCCTCCACCACAAGCAGCCCCACCTATTTTTTTTTCATTTGGAAGAGACCAAGGACTGGGGGCATTGATTGCCAGTCTTAGCTGTCCCCGGAATGTCCACCATGCAGAGGGGGGCAGCTCCTGGGTGCAAAGGCTTCACAGCCTTCACGTGCTGAGACCAGAACACCGTGTTTCATTGCAATGTGGGCACGTTGCCATTCAAACTCAGTTCTGGGGTGGTTCTGCATAAAGTTTTGCCAACGTGTTCTTTTCTCTGTATGTATTATTGCCTTTTTATAAAAGGTTTTGAAGTATTGTCTCAGTGATAAAAAGAGAGAGATGTTAATGGTTGTTGTATATTTCATCATATCCAATTGTAAGTATTTGCAGGGTACAGCAAAGCCTTAGCTTGCAAGAAGAGCTGAAGGGATTTGAAAGGTTTGGATTCTTTGTAAATGTCCTGCTTTTCTTTCTCTCTGTGTGTATCTATTTACATGCCTTAGCACACGCCCTCCTGTCCTGTCCCTCAACCACAGCGCTGGTGTGCTACCAGCACAGTGCAAGTGGAAACCCTAATCAGTTATCTCGTGTGACAGGGAAGAAGAGAAACTCCATAGTATTCTTTGTAGAATATACATACCTATAGGATGCTGTGTAATGGGGAACCATAGAATTTGGGCTCTTGTCATTTCAAAGTTGGAGAAATGTATGAATAAAATGTATAAAACATGAAAAGTCAGTCGTCTCCTCAGATTGCAGGACACACAGCTTGGGGAAAAACAACCCAAGGTTTAGACGGAGAGGGATGGCCCAGATTCTGAAAACCCCTGTAGCATTCCTCTCCAGGCAGGGCTCATAGACCTCCTGCCAAAGAACCAATGGTAAAGGGACAGGAGCATGTCCGCAGCTCCTGGTACCCATCCCATAAGTCTCTGTCCTCAGCCACAGCTGCCACAGAGAGCCGCACAAGCCTGGTTGCTTGCATTTGAGTGCAGATTTAAAATAGATTCAGATTTCTATTAAAAAACAAAAGAATAAAAGCCAAGTTGTGACATCTGCTAGAAATAGAAGTTTAAGTTGATTTTAGTGATGTAAGTGCCACAGCACAGAAAACGTGGCCCTCATGTGACATTTGTATTGAAAGCCGTAAGAGGAAGCCTGTTCCAAGGTTGTCACTCTGTCTGATGACACCTTTGCTGTTCTACACTCTGATTGGGTCCCTGGCTGGATTTGCAATACTCGCTCTTGCCTTTACCCAAGCTCTGCTCAGGCAAAGAACCATGGCAGCTTCATGTATTGCACACAGCTCCAAAAAGGCCCAGTCTCAGTGTACTTGCCTGGTTCACTATAAGAAGACCCATACTAAGGATACATGAAGTAGGAGTGATTATTTGCTCTATTTAAACTTCACAGTATGAAAAATATAGAGAAAAACCGAGATCCTACTCAGATGCAGCAAACTGAATCCCTGACCTTATGATTCAGGGAATCACAAATGGTCTTTCTGCAGACTCCTCACCCTCAATGCACAAAAGAGAAAAAGTATAATGCTTTCATCAAGCTTTTACTGAGCATCATGGTATTTAAGACACAGAAATATGCCAATATTAAGCTAGTAGAAATAAATATAAGCATATTCCCTTTAAGCTACATGCATGACAATATGAGGCCAGTACAAATCAATATGAACTTATATTTCCATGTTTTTACTCTTTTGATAATAATATGGTAAGCTGAATAAATAACACTGGGTATATCTCATGAACTCTTCAGCAAAGGCTGGTGATCTGCAAGACACAGAATGACACTAGTACAGAATGGCCAACAGTAACCTTGAGTCCTTGAGTTCAAGGTCACTGAGGGTAGCAAGCTCCCCAAAAGAATAATTTAGTTCAAGCTAGCAAGCCAGTCAAAGGAGATGGGTGCTCCAGGAGACAATGCCACAGAAAGTGGCATCTGACTTTTACAGTGAGTGAGTGCCTTAGACATGGGGCCTGAGGACAAAATCCCATGGTTCTGGCCATGTAGGGGATGCAATCGCAACTCTTGTTCCTCCCTCTTCTCAAAAAGTGGGACCCAGAAGCCACTTTTTTCCATAGACTTGTTCTTAGACAAGATTACTAAAAGCCCAAGCTACTACTGATGCCCTCTTTGCTTCTTGAAAGGCAACTTTATGTCTCTCTGCCCTGGCCACATGCCCCGCAGAGCACATGGTAGCCTCTCCCACCAGGATGCTCTAATGGGTGACTGGAGGGGAATACGCAGGAGACAATCTACCGGGACCTCGCAGATAGCTCCAGGCCTACAGGGTGTCACCCCAGTATGGAGATGGGAAAGTGGACACCCTACAATGCAGGTTGGCCACAAATCAACAGCTTTCCACAGAATGCCCCCAGGACCTTCCTGGGTGGAGGGAATGGTCTCCTGTCACACTTGGGCTGGTGGTTAGAGGGGTTTAGACAATGATCAGAACACACCCAAGTGAACACCTAGGATATGTGCGTTTTAGGTTATATACTATATATCTTGGTTACAGGAAACAAAAACTATGGTCACTTTCACAGATTGACAAACTTCAAGTCCCAGTTCAATTCTAAAAGAAACAAACCCTCAAAAACCCTTAAAATAGCCAGGCATGATGGCTCACACCTATAATCCTAGCACTTGGGAGGCTGAGGCAGGAGGATTATTGTGAGTTTGAGATCAGCCTGGGCTACAAAGTGAGCTCAAGGCCAGCCTGAACTGCATAGTGAGACCCTGTCTCAAAAAGACAAAAAAAAAAAAAAAAAAAAAAAAAAAAAAAAACTCTTGAAATAAGACAAGTATCCTGAGCAGATAAAAAGAAGAGCTACTTGAAGCTACAGCCAATATACTTCACCTAACAGTGACAAATAAGTGCTTTGAAATAGTCATTAATTTAAAATTTCTTAAATACACATGATCTTCACAAAACAATTAGGAAATATAGGTAAAACAAAAAAGGAAAAGTAGATTCAACTAAATTCAACTGAATTCTTCCACATAGACAAATGCTAACTACTTGTATCTATAAAGCTAGTATACGTCTATACAACAATGTTATTTAAATGAATCGGGGCCTCTATTACTTACATGACACCTCCTCCTACCCTATGATTGTTTACTGTTGCTTTTAAAACAGCGTCTGAAAGCAGAATGAAGTATAAACACTAGAAAAAGAATGAGGCCAAATTGCCCATAGTTGCTAATAATATTGTTATGTGCCTTGAAATTCCAGCAAGCACAAGAATGCCATTTGAGTCCATAAAAAGCAGTTACAAAACACTCAGAAATCAATCATGTCCTTATCTATAACAATAAAATTGGTAAATGTTATGGTAAAAGAATGGTGTTCCCAACTGCAACAAGTTCTTTAAAAGTGGCAAAATCCATGGGTTCTATATGAAAAAAACACAAAATGCACTGAGAATATAAAAGACTCAAATAAACAGAAATGTCTTTGGATGGAAAAACTAAATGTTTTCATGGCATCAGTTCTTTCCAAATTAGTGTGTGGGTTTAATACACAACCAAATCAAAATTAAAGTCAAAATATTTTTGGACTTTCACAAAATAGCTGTTCATCTGGACAAATGAACAGGGAGAAAATGAAAGGGAATTTTTGGTGGAAAGAGTAAATGAGGGTGAGTAGCCCTCCTAGATGTTAATCTGTTCTCAAACTAAAACACTTATGTCATCATACACCACAGCTAACTTCACGCTAAACAAAGATTTAAATATAAAATTGAGAGCAAATGAAAAGAAAGTATAATTAGGCTGTCAGTAACACTCTGGAATAGGGACACCTTAAGCTTATATGAAGAAAGAAATCACAAACCAAATGAAAGATTTTGGGTGTTTTATTTATGTGTATTTTGTTCTTCAGTGCTGGGAGGGGAGGCACATTTTTATGAAAAAGGTATAGACCACACACTGGGCAAGGAAAGACATTTGGCAGCAAATACCCTACCCAAAGAGTTAATGGGCTTATTATATAATGAACTTACATGAACTAGTTAAAAATACAAACATTCCAGCAAACAAAGGAGGTGAACACTCAACAGCCCCTAAACAGCTGCTCATGAGCCTCCTCCCATTCAGCGGGGGCCCTACAAGTTTGCCTCAGAGGGGACCTAAGAGTGTTTGGCCCCCAGTTACCACACAGAAAATATGTCACTTGCCTCTTAAGGAAAATGCCATTATCCTAGACCTCAGATAATGGCGACAAGTAGTTTAGCAAATACAATGTCCAGTATGTCACAAAAATCAACTAGGTACATGAGAAAAAACAGGCAAATAGATGAATATATCTGTATAATCAAGCGGCAATAATGTCTTGGGTTTTAAATAAACAGAATTAAAATGCATAGGAATTCTGACACAAATTGGGATGGAACGTAACAGAGTTAATGTTTTAAGGTCTCTATATGGTCAAGGAAGAAGGAATTAGCATTAGGAATCTAATATAAAAGATTTCTGTAAACCAAGGGTGAAAGTTCATAGTAACTACCTGCAAAAAATTACTGCGTGTAATTTTTGAGCTAAATTAGGACATTAAAATACAAATCATTAAGCAAGAGACTGCTATTAAATATATGATCTTATTGTCAAGCATGGTGATGTAATCCCAAGCATACAGGGAGGTTTAGGCAAGAAGATCCCAAGTTCAGGCCCAGCATTAGCAACTTACTCACTTAGCGAAACCCTATCTCAAAATGAAAAATAAATAAAATAGCCAGGGATTTGGTTAAGTGCAAAGGCCCCGGATTCCATTCAAGTACCAAATAATAATAATAATAAGCCCAATTGTTTGTTAAACACTGAGAAAAGTAACCCTTGGGAAAACTGATGATGCCCCCAAACATTTTTTCTGAAATAACTCTTCCAAGTATAAAAGTTAATTATCAGGTAAAAGGCATAATATCACACAATATCATAATACCAGACAAAATTTTGTGCAAAAATACATTTAAAAATTTTATTTTGGTTTTGTTTTGATATTTTTTATTTTGAGAGAGGGTCTTGCTATGTAATTCAGGCTGGCCTTGAATTCACTGGATAGGGCAAACTGGCCTCGAACTCACAACAATCCTCCTGCTTCAGCCTCCCGAGTGCTGGGATTATATGTGTGCACCACCACACCTATCAAAAAAAACTACATAAAAACATTTTTAGGGTGCTTTAAACAATTTATTTAACTGAAATGCCATGTGGTAACTTCCATTTATTTTGATACATCTTTTCCTCATGGTGATTTTCAGGATCTTTGGGCCAATATAAATATTTCATAACCATTTGGCCATTTGGGTATACACCTGCACAATACCTCAGCAATATCTTTCAGAAAGAAAAACACTGAAGAGTAAAACACAATTAACTAGGTAGAATGAAAATCTGCTTCAAATATATGTTTCTGAGTTAAAGGCACGGCACACCTGTTCAGTTCAGAAAACCATCCTAATCCCCGAGTTTTTATTTTTAAGTAGAGTCTCAAATGCTTGGCCACTAATTAGGTGCTGAGTGGCAGAACTCCACTCCCAACTTAAAAGTTCATGGGGAGCAGAGCCCAACAACTCAGGCTCCTTCCCACTGGTCCTCAAGATATGTGCTTCTCTGGAGGGGCAGGTTAACTTGCTTATTTACAGCAATGCCAACAGCATGCTGGGTGACACTGCAGAGTCTTCTAGTTTTGCCACAGTAACATTTGTGTGGCATTC